GGGGAGGGGGAGGGGGGGAGGGGGGAAGTGTCTCTTTGAAACTGTCGGGTAATCTCGTTCGTGTCTCGTTTTCATCCGAGTGTTCTGCACAGCTGGCTGCACGAAAAACCGAAATCCAATAAAAACAGACGATTTTTATCATTACACCGACTCGAAAGATAAATTCTGGGTGAACGACGAATTACGACGGCCGAGAGAACAGAACTGTTTCCGTCGTCAGAGGGTTGGTTAATCCGGTTAGTCCAGAAGTTACTAGTCGAATCAGCGGAAGAGAAAGACATGGACAGTTAAGGAAAATCGACGATAGAACCACAGAGAGAGAGAGAGAGAGAGAGAGAGAGAGAGAGAGAGAGAGAGAGAGAGAGTAGAGAGAGAGAGAGAGAGAGAGAGAGAGAGAGAGAGAGAGAGAGAGAGAGCTTTACAGAATATAATTGTTTTATATTCTTTATAGATCTTCTTTACATTCTTTATAGATCTTCTTTACAGATTATAATTGTTATTAATATTGTTGCATGGGCGTGCATGTGTGTGTGTGTGTGTGTAAAACTATTTTTATAAATAAAAGAATAAATTAATAAAGGAAATAATTAATAAAGGAATAAATTAATAAAGGAATAAATTAATAAAGAACACGTAGAAAGGACAAAGGGTACAAAGACATTTCCTCGTTTGAACTTACGTTCAAACTCTCATCGTTCTAATTCAACCGCGGGAAACTCACTTTTGAATCGTATTTTGAATCGCAAACCAAGTTTATACTGTTATGTGTATATCTGCATTATGGGAAAATTGGTCACGACGAGAAATTTTTCAAAAAAAATTTGTATCGTCTAGAATGAATACGAGATTCTTCTATAGATTTAAACAAGTTTTAAACTTCAATCATGCTCATCACAACGGTAAGAGCGATAAACGAAAACGGAGAAGATAGTGGCTTTGCAGAAGTAAAATTTTAAAAATGAAAGTCTGTAACGCTCCAGAAAAAATACTCTAAATCGATAAATTTCAACGTACGTAGATGTTGCGTATACCATTATGCACGAGACACCTAATCTATGCAATTCCGAACCCAGTTTAGAAAAACCATATCATCTCAAAAAATATAAATTCAAACATACTATTTAATTCCAAGAAATGAGACACTTAAGGAAATTTTGAATAAATTTTATTTGAAACATGGATTGTAAATTTTTCGAAAAATGTTCTTTACTTACCTAATGAGAACAGATAAATAAAAATAAAAGTTTCAAACAGAATATGAAATATAACTTATGAAATATAATATATAATAAAAATATATCTATCAAAGGAAGATAATTTGATCATTAATATTAAAAATTATCTCAATATTTGTAGCAAATATTGATATTAAACATTATTCAATGAATATAAAAATGGAGTTTTAACATTTTGAATGTCATGGGTAACAGGTACTCAATTTGCTAGTAGCACCGATCAACGATATATCAAGATTAAAAAAAACACATAATTCGAGCCAATACTTAAAAATTTTTCAATATTATCTACTACTACAATAGTGTAAAGAAAGAAATTAATGCAGTATAGAACATGTAATAAAATAGTTTTATTTATACATATAATATATATGCATAAATATTATTTGCGTACATTGCAATATATCATAAATCACTGCAAACAAAGAAAAGTTAATCAGTACAATCTTCATAATATGTGGGAACTTTTTTGGTACAATTTTTTGCTTTTGTTCTATCTAATTGTTTTGAATAACATCTTTTATAAAATTGTCCCCGATTCTGTCTTTTCTATTTTAGTTTCATGGTATAGTTTTCTTTGCGAGTTCATACGTGAAGGAATGCAACTCTCAATTTTTCACTATATCGTAAAAATAAAATATTGTAAAAACTAAGTGAAAATAAAGTATTTCAGCACCGCGGAGGTTACCAGTGATTCTCAGTAAGATAAATCCATTGTGTATAAATCCATAAATCCATCCATAAATCCAAACATGATTATATATTTCAACTTATTTGTTGCAAATAATATTGTGTATACAATTGTTCTTTGCTTAATAAGCAATTGTTATATAAAAGTGAATAATAAATTTTTTCCATAATTTGATTCCTTACTCTACTCTGAATAAAAAGGATATGGTGTGTCAAGAAAAATTATTTCTTCAGATATTTCAAACTTTTTGATATTTCTGATACATTGTAGACATTGAGGCTATAACATTCCAAAATCAGCCTTCATTCTGTCGTCCTTCAGACTTCATATTGCTTCTCGTTCTTAGAAGGAATCTCTTCTTTCCCAATGCTTTTTTTTTCATGTCATTTTTATATAATGTAACAATGGTTCATCATGAATATAGTAAGGATACTTCTCCATTAATTTGTATGGGTATCATCCTAGTTATGATATACTAAAGAAGCAAATTGTCAGGCGGATAAATCCAAAAACTGATAAATTTGTAAATTTAATTTTCTCGGAACAAAATATTTTATGAAAAAAATCTTATTTTACATTTTTTTATTTTCAGTTGATTGTTCGAATTCATGTTGATATGCGAAATTTTTGTTTTACCTAATGTTGGCTCAATTTTATTGATATTATTACGAATTTTTCTTCTCTTATGGAAATTATTGTAATTGAAAATCTCCATAGGTTTTGCAATTATTTTTTCTCGATATCCGTGACAGCACATCTCACAACTTCTTTCGAATTTCTCAAGAAACATTTTTTAATGTTTTTAATTTTAATGTTTTAATTTAATGTTTTAAAATTTTTATCGGTCTTTACCTAAACATATGAAACTCAATCACGCTGCTACAGAAGAACACGAACACGTTGGGATTCTTTTTTTATTCATTTTTTAAGTCGGTAGAACATCGAAAAGAAATCCGTAAAATGTACGAAGCCCTAAATTCTCTGAAAGAAAAAATTTAAATTAATAAATAAAATAATATACACGAGAATAAAATAGAAAAGAAATTCGAGATATAACTATATAACTATAAATTAACATACGAATTTTTGAATGTGAAATACTAAGATGTTACGTAGGGCCTCGATTTTATTTGTTTGAGCTTGTGTATGAGCAAACTATGTCAGTTTTTATTAAATTAATACATAAAATACATAAAAATTTTGTCATACCTTTTCACGTACCTTTAATTACTAGTCACTATCCCTATGTGTTAATACGTATCATATCAGTGTAAACAATTCTTTCATACAATATACATATATACAGTCTAGAACGAGATAAATATTTTTATTCTTTTTATTCATACAGTATTATAATTTATGAACATACAAAGAAATTTTATACAAAAATGTGTGTGTTTACAAACCCAAAGAAATATCAGTGTAAATAGAATTGAAGTAGATTTATTTATTAATGAAATCAAGAATTATACAGGTTTAAGGTTGAATTTCTATCTATTATATTATTCATATAAACTTTTCTATGTACTGTGTTATTTATATTTTTTTGTATTTTGGAAATTTTTCCTATAACCTAAAAATATCAAACCTTGAAGAGAAATGTCTTTAATTTCTCATAAGGAATAATTTTTGAAATAAGAAAATTTTAGTTGTAAAAACAAAGAAAAAAGAGAAAGATAATACAACTAAAAGTATTATTAAATGAAACATATATTCTAATATTGTGTTAAATTTAATAAATTATAATTATATATAGAAAAGATATTGTAAGAGAATATTATATCAAATTGATTACATATCATGAGATAATTTATAAATTATTTTATTTAAATATTTCTAAGAAATGAGATTATAATGAAAATTTGCAAGAAATACAAAATGTTTAAATTTTATAAAAAAAATATTAATGTTATTTTTATTTTTAATGTGGTTTAAACAAATAATATGATAAATATAAATTAAAGTTGTTTTATAAAAAAAAAAGTAAAAAGTTTGAAAAAATTAAATGAAATGTTTGAACAAAAATTCATATTTTATGAAACAAGATATAAAAAGTGTTCTATAGTTCTATAGTTTGTTCAATAAATCTATGCCAGCGGAATAGAAAAACTATTGACTGATGCTTATTATTATTGACTCAAATGTTAATTTATCTATATCAGAGATGAATTTGTCAGTCTTTAAATAGGTATCCATATTATCTATGTTGATGTAAAATCTACAACTAGGCTCCTATTTCATTTGAATGCCTCCACGTACATATGTCTATAACTAGTATCTCAACTTGTTGAATGATATATAATGTAAAAATTCTTCATTATTTAGAATTTTGTATCATGAATATCAATATAATATGTTGACATAAACAAAGTTTAATATAAATCATAGAAGAAATATATATTAATCTTGTATTGTAAGGCTCTGAGATTGAAAAACTATAGAACTAATTGTAAGCTTATAAGTACTAAATAATAACAATTATTAATAAAAGCTATAATAAAATATTTAATGGAATTCATAAGTATTTAATGTAATTTAAATTATAGGAAAAGAACGGAAAATATTGAAAAACTATAAAAAATGTAATGAAAAAAGAATGTATAAAAAGAATAAAAATGTTCATTTAATTTCTCATATATAATGAAAGAATAAAAATGTTCATTAATTTGTAATTATTTTTATTTAAAATAAATTATATTATTCTACAAAAGTATTTTAAAAAGTCACTTAAAAAATTATTTATATATAAATAAACTGTGATAAAAATTCAAAAAATCCAAATAATTATTAATTAGAAAGAATTGCTGAGTTACAAAGTTTCTTGTATAGGTATTTATAAATTATATATGAATACAATATTGACAATGAGTATAACAACTTATATTATTCAGTATCTATTTATTTTTTTCATTACAAAAACATTTATACTACGAATTTTTATGTGATTGTTTTCAGTTAAACAAATTAAGTTCATTTTTATAAATATTCATATTTAAAAATGTCCTCTTTAAAAATTGTTAGTATTATAATTTTGTGCATTTATATATATTTCTAAATCAAATTTAATAAAGCTTTTAATTAAAATTTTATACTATATTACAAACATTGTAGTAGTGAATTTATACAAAACTTACTTCAATGGCGATGCTTCCTCCGGATCCAAAATATCTTTTTCGTGGTGATATGGGTTGTGTAAATTGCATTCTTTTTCAAATAACCCCCAATGTAGAACATCTTTATGCAGGCACTACCAAAGGCAACATTCACATTTGGGATCTAAATGTAAATAAAATATTTAAATATTTTTATGTCTAATCAAATGATTTTAAAAATTTTCTATAGATTAACATATAAAACTATTATATGAACATATTGTTAGATGTATAAAATAAATTTTATAATACTTTTATGTTAAAGACAAATAGAGAATTATATCAAATTATATCAGAAGAAGATTCTTGTTTAAATTTGCAAAGCTTAAACAGTAATACTTTGTTTGTACAACATAAATGTGGTTTAATCAAAATGTATAAAAAAACAGAAACTCAATGGACTGCGTTTAATTCCATTAATATAGATTTTTATCATTATTGCAGGTATATATTATATGTATTGTATTAAAATTAATTATTTAAATATTTACTTAATATATCATATTTATTATATAAAATAAATTATTCTTAAATTATTCTTAAATTTATAACAGATTTCAAGTATTTTCTGAAAATGAAATATTTGTACCACTTAAAGAATCTGCAGTTGGAATATTATCTTTGAACACTTTTAATACCGAACTGAAATTGAATTCTCATAATTCCAAGAATTTAGGAGAAGTAATGACTATCAAACCGCTAAAAAATGAGAAATTAGTTTTAGTTGCTTATGAAGCAGGAGAGTTAATTCTATGGGATGTTCGACAAAATAAAATATTAAGTTCTTTAACAGTAGAAACATGTCCAATGACATTAGATTTTGATACTACATTATCAAAAGGAGCAATTGCTGGTCCTTCTAATAATATACAGGTAAAAAAAAAATATACATAACAAATAATTGAACTAAAAAGAATTTAGTCTCATTAAATATTTTAATTAATAAAGAACTGATTAGGTCTACAATGATATAAATTTTTCACTTTTAGATATTTAGTTTATCAGTTAATCATCTATTGCATAATAAAAATAAAATAACTGTGACAAATCCTGGAATTTCTGTAATTACAATTAGACCTGATACTAAAATTATGGCAACTGGAGGATGGGACAGCCGAATTAGAATATATACTTGGAAAACCTTAAAACCATTAGCTGTTTTATGTCAACATAAAGATACTGTACAAGATATTATTTATTCTACAGAAAGAATAAAAGCTTATAGTAATAAAATGATAATGGCTACAGCTGCAAAAGATGGATATATAGCATTATGGGATATTTATAATTAAATTTCATCACAAAATGAAAAATTTTTGTTATAATTTAAATAACATAATAAAAATTTAATTAAATACTTACAAAACTGATATAATATTAATTTTATACATAAATATATATTTAAATATGTACATATTTATAATTATATGTATATAGTTATAACTACTCTGTATTTTTCTCCATGTACTATACATTGTTTTTATCGTATTATCTATTAAATTCAAATTTGTTAATATAATATATAATGTATATATGGATAACAGAGATACTATTCAATTTTAATATTTAAGTGGGACACTAATACATTCTTTTGTAAACTACTATCATCCTATGATTTTCATTTAAATATCTTTTATGGGCTACTTTATTATACCTTTCATCTAACAAAATATTATACAATATTATAATATCATTGTTGATATTAAAACAACTTTTTTAAATATAGCTGGTATTTTTATTACACTTAATTTTAAATTGTTTGATTTGTTTTTTTAAATTTTTCCTTTACCATATCTATTTATAATTCCACGCATTTCTTATATAAATTCATAATAATTCATATTTCTTTCTTTTTTAATTTTTCTATACATTTATTTGTTTATTTAAACTTACATTTAGGATTATATTTGTTATTTATTCTTGAATTGATATGTTTTGATAATGTTTTGATAATGTTTTCAGATATACTAATGCTAGTTTGGTTAACTTTTCATGCAACAAGAATTGTGCGAATATATTTATTACGTATACATTTTCCGCTAATTTCTGAATATTTATTAATATTCTTATAAAGAACAAGAATAAATAACATTTATTTATTTCTTACTGTTGTTATACAAATATTTCTTACACTCGCTGTAATATGTGTAATTGATTATAATAAAGACATAACATAACATACCTTAACATATTATTAAATCAATGTTAAATTCGAGTACATTAATTAACAATTATTGTTTATCTGTATCTCATGTTATTCATCTAATTCCATCAAAGACGTCTATATTTATTCGTATTGAGCATGTCCAATACCACACAAATGTTAGTTATGAATAAAAATCTTTGTTTGAAACACAACGTGTTATTACAAACTATAAGGCATTCAAGTACGACAAAACAAACACCAGCTACATACTGTTTAGAACTAGTTAGGTATTTTACAATTAATAATAATGGAAAATGTGCAAAACAATTGAAAATTATGGTTATTTTAAGTGTTTACATTATTTGTTATTTGTTATTGTATTGTGTTTACATTATTTGTTATTTGTTATTGTATAAATTAACATCAGATTAGAGAAAAATTTTTATTTATTTTATTTACTCAGGAAAAAGAGAATTTTTACAAATTGTACAATAATTAACAAATAAAAATATATATAAAAAGTTATTAATAAATTTTTTATTTCTTACATTATCTTGATCTTTTTTCAGAAAATATGATTATGAGAATTTTTTGTGCACATTGTTATTATCAAACAAAAACAAAGCAAGCGCGTTTGCAATTCGTGCATTTAACGTTGAGATATCTCAAATAAGAGATCAAGTACATGATTATAAAATAGGAGAGATGAGATTACAATTTTGGACAGATGCATTAAACAATACATACAAAGGAAACCCTCCAAGAAGTCCTGTTATGTTGGAGTTACACAGAGTGAGAATGATTTTGTATTTTTATTTTGCCAATTTTCTTGTGTTACTTGTCAAACTATAAAAACAACTTTAAGAAAAATCTTTGCAGATTTTAGAAGAACATCCTCTTTCTAAACATTATTTCAAACGTTTAATTGATATAAGACTAGAAAAGATTCGGGATTACTCATTTCAAGATATGAGTGCAATAGAAAAATATGCAGAATATAGTAACTCTTCGACTTATTATCTTCTTCTACAAGCACATGGTGTAAATAATATTAATGCTGATCATGCTGCGAGTCATATGGGCAAGGCACATGGCATTATTAATTTAGTCCGATCAGTTCCATATAATGCCAGTAAAAGAATAAACATGTTACCACAAGATATTTTAATGAAATATAATGTTTCTACAGAGGCTGTATTACAAGGTGAATCAAGTAAAAATCTCCAAGATGTAATATATGATGTAGCTTCTCATGGGAAATTACATTTAGATGCTGTAAGTATATATCAAACATTTCTAATGGATTAATAAAAATAAATATATTTGATATTTTATATTTTTAACATAAAAGTTCTGCTATTTTTAGGCAATTTCTCTTAAACAAAATGTGGGAAAGGAAGCGAATTTAATATTCCTGCCAATAATTTGTTTGCAAAAATATTTAAATGAATTAAGGAAAGCAGACTTTGATGTCTTTAATGCAAAACTACAGAGAAAAGATCATTTACTTCCTTTATACTTATATTGGAAAAGTTTTATGTATTAAATTCGATATATTTTTAATTATAGATTAAAATATTGTAAAATATTTAAAATAATAATTATACCGTAAAATAAATAGACTAAATATTTTAGTACCTTCTTATTTTCTTCTTATTTTAATTACTAAACTTAAATAATGTGTGTAGGTATAAGTTTAATTAACCTTTCAATAAAAATTCTTCTTTACAGTTTATTAGAACAGATTTTTGTAGGATTAAAATAATTTAAATAATTTACATTGTATATGTAATATATATTAATATGTTGTCTAATAATACTATCCAATAAATTAAAGCTTTTGCTCTAGTATGCAATATCTACTAATTGTAAGTGATTTTTATAAGATTGTGCATAAATTTTAAAACAGGAATACTTTATCACTTTCAGTTTTTAAAAACTTTTTAAAAATTACAAATTTTAATTATTAAATTAAAAAAATCAATCATGCATTATTTTTATATTTTCATAAAAAGAATTTTATTTAAAACAAATTTAGTTTCTAATAAAATAAACAAAATATAATAATTTTATACATTGATTTAATTGTATCTAGCAAATAATTATCTATAGTAGTTTATATTTTTATATTGTTTTATAGAGATAAATAATCAACTCATACATATAGAAGTATATAGAAGGAATTCAATTTTTAAGAATACAAGTATGAATATAGTGAGTACCTATCTTAATACCAAACATTTTGCCAAACTGGTAACACAAGTGCAGATATAGTTTTGGTATATACTAATATATTCTATTCTTTATTCATAACGAAATATTCTATTTTGTTCAAAATCATGCGGTTTTACAAGATCTTATATTTTTTGAAAACATTCAAGTAACTCTGATAAAAATCACCTAGTAGATATTGCATATAAAATTTCAATAGTATAATATTGCATAATCTATTCTGTTAATTAAGCAACATTTTTTTAAAAATTTCGATTAAAATAAAATATTTTTCTATGTATTATGAAAATAATTTGTATAATTTTCACAGTCCATTTCTGTGGAATTTGAAAATAAATCTCCAGTACTACAAGGAATTGTAGGTATATTTGAACCTTGTACAGTGAATCCATGATAATCTTCTTGCTCTGATTCTGTAGAACATGGCAAATTCAAATGAGTAGACACTAGTAATTCATTTGTCGATTTTTCCTGTTGTGTATCAAAATCACTTTGTGTATCTAAACTTATAAGACTCGTTTCATCTTCTGCTTTGCTTACATCAAAACTATCATCGCCAATGAAAGATGGAAAATCAAAAGTAGGAGATGGTGTAATGCAATCTTCTATTAAAGAGGACCTCATATCGTTTTGTGGTGTTGAATTATTAATTGTGCTAGGACAAACCTACAATTTATCATAAATAGCTATTTAATATTAAATAACTATAAATAACTGTAATAAATTTTATGTATATATATATTTATTTATAAATAAAAATTTTAAAAATATTACTTGTGGAATAATTGGAGGTGGTAATTGATAACTTTCAATATCTTCACAATCTAAATTAGTAGGCAATCTTTGGCTATGTGTAATTAACAGTGGAGTTCTGTCTAAAACCGTATTTACTTCTGATTTCATTTCTTCTTGAAATTGTAACATCTTCTCTTTTAAATTTAATGCCTCTGTCATTATTTCTGTAGTTTTGGCTTTCATTTCGTCAAGAAGTGTTATATCTTCACACATTAGGTGCAGACTCTGTATATATGTTAAAATAAATTATGTGAAAAGTATCTAGTTAATAATTATTATTAAAAAAAGATGTAATATGTACTTCACATATCATTAAAGCAGATTCCCATGTATTAGCAGGTACGCGTTCTCCAGACATATAAGCATTAAAATCTTTCTCATCCATATTTAATGATTCAGCTGTCAAATTTTCAATAAAAGATACGGCACAGCACTAGAAGATTATTACACTTGTTTTATCATAAAATAATCATAATGTTTTTCATAAATATTAAAATAAATTTTACCAAATTTGTGAAATAATATCCACCTTCCCCTGTCATTAATCTACTTGCATTACAGAACCTAGTAATAAAATTGATGTTACTTTTAAGACGAGCAGGGTTAGCTTTTAGAACAATAAAAATTAAGGCAGGAAGAAATTCATCTGCAGATGCAGGTCCACCAACAGATTGTTGTAACATTAGAAATATGTTTCGACAACAATAAATAACACATGAAAGTTTTTCTTGTGGAGCTTTAGCAGAATCCATATTTAATAAATCTACAATAAATTAGAAATCTATTTTCAAATAATTGATTAATAAATTATACAGTTAATCTTTGAAATTTAAAGTTTGTAAAAACAAACCAGTTATAGAAGTATAAACTAGTTCTCTAACTTCAGAACTAGTTTCATGTATTCGACATTCCAAATTTTTTCCACTAACCCAATTCAATTGTCGGATTCTGTAATTGTTATAAATTTAATTTTATTTTGTATATTTTTAATATATATTTTAGTATCTATTATATATCTATTACCTTTTTTGTATTGCTAAATCTTTTTCTTCATCATTTGTAAATGGTGGACAAAAAAGAATCCTGTAGAGCAGAGTCATCGCATATCTTTCTACATAATCCAATAATTTTTCTTTGATTTCTGGTGTTATATCTAAAACATTTACAAAGCAAATTGATCTTATAACTTTCAATAAAGTAATTTGTTAATATTCAAATTATTTCGAATTTATATTCTAAATACCTGCATATTTAGCACTATTTTCTAAACGCTTTGCAAATACTTGATAAAAATTTTGTGTAATCTCCGAAAGCTCTTCTATTCTTTTCACATCTTTATTCTGAAGTATCTCAATAATAAATGAATGCATACACTTTCTAACATCTCTTTCAACTGGTGTTTTAGCGATCATAGTTATTAGATCACGATTGTCTGCTTTTACTTTCTCAAGGTCAGGATTATCTTTTGTTAATTCATAAAGCAATTCTTGGTACCCCTGTACTAATTAAAAAAATCAGAACTTTCAAAATAATAATATTTCTGTATAATAATTCAAAATATTCTGTATAAGAAATGTAGATGTTTAATAAAAGAAAATATGAAAAAAATAATTTAAATCATATTTCTTAATATATATCAATATATATTGAAACAAATTTTTGCAAAAGTCAAATAAAAAGCTAAATATTAATTCTATAATAAATGTACCTTTTGCAACTGGCTTGCGAAAAGATATATTTAATAACTTATACTTTTTTTCTTGTTGTACTTTCTTCTCCTCATATTTTTGATGTGCACTAATTGCATTTTTATTGGAAGAAGCTCTGAAACATTGTTAATGTTACTTATAATGTAACAATAATTATTAATAGTATAATAGTATAATGTATTTCTTTTAATAAATAAAATATTTTTTATTATATATCTGAGAAATATTCTAAAATATATTATTATTAATATATTATTAAAAATATTACTTGCTTTTAAAAAGAAACAAATAAGATGTTATGGTAAGGCAATAAAAATTTAATTGCTAGAGATATAAATATAAAGGAACAAAACTAAAGTACAGTATAATTATACAGAGTATAATTTTTAATTGTATGCTGTATATATATTATATATAAAAAGATTAAAAGCATATCAGTATATCTTAATAGTAAAGTGTTTAATGTCAATTGAAAAGTAAATTTATCTTAATTTTTCTTTTGCTGTAATGTAATTGTTATCAGAAGAGATTTTTAAAAAAAGGACAAACATTTTATCAAATTTTTATATTTACATACAAATATGAAATTTCAAAAGTAAGAAAATTTGTCGGAGTGAATTCGATTATAAATTAATCAACGTACAAATCGTATCCCTGTCCATAAACATTGCATTCTGTCTGCGATCTCTGTTTTTGTAAATATTCTCGATAACATTTGCTGCAATAACCTTCCCATTCTGCGTTTCCATAAAATCCACAACCATTTTTGCATTTGAGATCAGCCTCGTCGATTCTTAAAGTGGGTGTTTTTGTGGAATACATTCTGACAGAGCTTTTCGTATATTTTTGCAATTTTTTTTTCTTTACATAATTTACATTTTATTTGTATAGTTTACTTACTTCCTTTAACACAACAGTCACTATGTAATACAGATAAGCATGTAAAAACGCATGCGTAAATCTTTACTTGAGAATTTTAAATTGTTATTAACAATTAAGTTATTAACATCAAAAATCTATAATTAGAAATTATTAATTTTTAATACTAGGAAAATATTAATAAGGAAAATATATGCAATTATGTATCCGTCGTATGTACCTAAAATTTTCAGCTTAACATTTCAAGTTACAAAGGCTAATTGAAAATTCTCAATTTTAATAATGTGTATAAAATTTATTTTATTTTTACTAAGAAAAAATTTGGAAAACACTTTTTTTTAATCTTAAGAAAATTTTCTATTTCATACATATTTCAGTTATTAACATATATAAGTTAGATCATCTTTAGTTAAATTATCATCATTATTATCATCTTTAAATTATTATTTGATGAAAACTATTTTATCTGAAAATTTTTATTTTTAAATATTAACTTAAAAATTATAAGCAATGAATTAAATTAAATATTAACTTAAAAATTATAAGCAATGAGTACAGTTATAAATTTCACTAAAATAATTCATAGTTTCTAGGTAAATAAAATTTTTTATCATAATTTATATGAAAAAAAATAAATATCTGTTTAAAAATATATATTTAGTTATAGTTCATATTATTAATATATACAAATATATACTATTCCAATAAGTCATGTCATACATGTTTAAATTGGTTATTTAAAATTGTATCAATCATTGTATATAGGTCATTAGTGATTTCTTGTTAAAATTTTGATAACTATATTATAAATTATAATAATTAATATATTTGTAATACTAAATACATTTTTAATAATCAGATATATTAAAGTTTAGTAAATCTAAGCTATAAATTATGTTTAAAACAATAGATGTTTAAAACAAGCAGAATTTTTTGTTACATATTCCTAGAGTTTTTTCAAGTCTAAAAATTTAGTTCAAAGTTTTTTCATTTATTTCTAAACTCTTATCATACATTATTCTTGTTAATTAATGAGTGTATATGTTGTCACAGTTAATAATAAAAATAAACTTCTGTAATATTGTTTAATTAAATTAAAAGAAATGTAATAAAGAGAAATAGAAAAGATTTCATTTAGAAATATTTTTAAAACTGTAATTGTTTGATTGTATGATATGCATGTATATTTGTGTATTTACATAATGAGCATACATAATGAGATTGTAAAGAGCTTTTAATTTCTTCAAGAGATAATACATTTCTCTGCAAGTGAGTTAAAATCTTTAAAGTTTATTGAGGAAGTAATGCATTTTAGAAAAAATTTAGAAATTTAGATTTTTACTTAGATTTTAACAAACATATTGAATTTAAAAGAAAATAGTTGTTTTTTAATGAAATCTTATGTTGAAATTTGAAAATATTGCCTCATTTTTTGACATTTATTCCACTGAATATTAAAATGATTCTGAAGATATTTGCATAAAAGAATATTAGTGAATAGGAAAGGTAATATATTTAATTGAAATATTTAATTTTATTTATTTATCAAAAATAATCTATAATTATGCCTAGATGTACCTATTATAATAAATATCATTTTATCAACGTTTGAAAACTTGAAAATATGGAACATGTTACAAATACATGCATCGAAGAAAGTTTATATATAAAACAAAATTATCAAAATTATCATTACATATTGAGAAGTAGAAGACTTATCATTTTAAAAAAGCTATTTATAATTTTTAGTATACAATAAATTTCTAATAATTAGTAATTTTTAAATATCGAGACTAAATACCACTTGCAAAAAAGTATCTTTTAGTAAAATCATAGTTCATATCGCAACGCATAGTTTCAAATATTACCGCGCTTGTGTTCAGATTCATGTGGTGAAAAATGTTTGTATTTGAAAAGCACGTAGGGCTTATAATTTTCTCAATTTAAAAATTTAAAAATTACATGTCACATGTATTTATATTATAGTATATTATATTACAAAGTTTAAATATATATAACAGAATGATGCACTGTGTAAGAAAGGTAAATAACTGTTAAATCTCATATTTTCATTTATAATGGAGGTTATGATAGTTAACAGCTAAAAATAGTAAATAATTTTAATTTCTTATGTTATAAATAATTTTTTTTGTTACTTTTGCCTTTTTATATATTTTCATGATTCATTCATTCATTTAAATTTATCATTACAATGACATTCATTATAATGATTTATATCCATCCTATGTAATCAATTGTATCAACATATTGACTAACTTTATAAATCTACAAATATATAAATTTTAATAATATACAAAAGTTTATTATATGCATTTTCAAGTCTTTTTATAAATTTATATTTTTCATATATTTTATTTATTTATTTGTACTGCCTTGGTTTAATTATTTCATTAATAGTAAAAAATAATTTAATTGTTGTTTTTATATTTTATATTTATATCTAATTAATTAAATTCTTCTTTCTTGATCTAATGGATGATGTGAACTAATTTGTGATGAAAGACACCATTATCGTCAACATTGAAGTACATTACAAGATGTAAGTTCATTGATAATAATAGAAATATTTTAATAAGACCTCAGTTTCGTTACTTTTATAAAAATGCACAAGTATCGAAAAATCTAATCAAACCAATAAGTCAATTTGGAGTAATTAAAAACTTGTCACATAGATTTGATCTTTATAAACAAAGATACGTAAGTATAATTGTTCAGCATCAATCATTTTATTCAAAATTATATTTATACGTACTTCTAATATTTAACCCAATTTATATTTCTTTGTATTTTAGAACTTAAGTGCATTGGGTTATGAATTATATGATGACATTCCTGACAGACTTAATTATTCAATATTTTTCAAAGGTATATCATTGTTCTTAAGTTCTTGTTGATTTAATATAGTCTCATTGTATATAATAATTTTATAATTATTTAATTTATTTTTATTTATTAGATTTTAATATGTCAGATACATTTTTCTCATGGTTCCTAATCACAGAACTACATGTTTGGATGTTAATGGTACGTTTTATGGCCGAAGGAAAAAAAGGTGAACTGGTTGTAAAAAATATAATTGAAGCTATGTGGCAAGACATTACTGTAAGAATAGGTCTACTGGGTGTAAGTAATTAATAAATTATGCATTATTATTTATTTTTGATCTATTTCAATTTTAACCTTCTATGTTTAAGTTTTATATTTCTAATTTCTATTCTAATTTTTATTACATAAAATTTGATACTTGTTAATCAATTTGTAACATAAAATGTTTATAACTTTTTTTTATTAGCCAATGACTGAAAAAACAAAAAAGAAACAGCTAATGGACTTATCATATCAATTTAATGCAGCTATAATTGGTTATGATGAAGGTATTATGTCAGATGACAAAGTACTAGCTAGTGCATTATGGAGAAGGTTTTTTATCTTAGAGTGTAACAATCCTGAACAGCTAGAGAGACTTTTAATTTATGTTAGAAAACAGGTAATTAGAAAGTACTATTGTTTTCTATGAAATACTATATAATAATTTGATTTATTTTTGATTGATTTATTATTTTTCTTTTAGATTAATGCGTTTGATAAAATTCCATCAGAAAAAGTTTTTGATAAATCAATAGCGAAATGGATAGATTTGTAAAATATTAAATGAAGCTTATGGATGCTATTAAGAATTTGTAAATTTTAATTAGGTAAAATCATATTACAAATGTATTAAAATTATTATATGAAAAAATTTGATCTCTTATTTCGATTATAATAATTTAATCCTTCAAGTCTCTTCAGTACAATATTATGAATTAAAATTGACAATCATGATTAAAGTTGACAATGCATATATATATATACTTCAAATATATATGTCTATATATTTAATATTAATTTAAATTATTATTAATATAATTTTTAGTAATGTTATTTATTATTTTAAATCATTAATATAACTTGATATTGAGAAACATTATTTCTTTTATTTATTAAAAACATATATTACACACTTATAACTCTTTTTATAAAACATGTACTGAAGAAGTTAAAATACTATCGCATAGCATTTTTTTTTTTGACTGAACAATTACTCTACATAAAAGTTTCTTTTTACAATTTATATCACAGGTTTCTTCTAAAGAAGGTTCAGCTTGCTTATAAAAATTCCTGAAACAATGATAAAATAAGTTCTTATAATAAATTACTATGATTTAGCAATATTTAATGATCTTTAAATTTACCTATAATACTTGTTTATTAGTGTTTCATTCTTTGCTACTCCAGTGAGCCAATTATTTAAAGATTTAACAGATAAATCTGGGAGACCATATTCTGTTTTAAAGGAATACGATTTATACCAATTTGGTCTTACATGAATGTTTTTATTGGCAGAACTGAGGTCGTACATCCAATTTTGATAATCAGCTACTTCCTATAAGAAAAAAATTTTTATTTTAAATTATTTATGCATTATATATAATTTATAATTTATAATTTAATTTATCTATTATTATATCATAAATAAAATAAATAACTTACATAATTCTTACAATTTACTGTGTATATTTTATAATTTGGATTCAATTTTGTATAAGTTGTTATACTACCACCATTCCAAGCAACATTGTTTACTTTCATATCAGAATTATAAAATATTGCTATTTCATCATTATGAGTATGGCCATTGAATTGAGCTTTTATTAAATGTGAGAATCTATTGATTATTTTTAAATATTCTCGTTCCCACGTTTTTAGACAGCTATTACTATTAGGAGGTATATGTGATAAAATGTGTACAAATTCATTGTTCTTTTCTGCTTCAGAAAGAATAGTTGTAAACCAGTGTAATTGATTATCAGGATCTTTTGGATTATACAAAAGCCACCTGTATAGAAAAAATAATTGTGAAAGAAGAATTCTGGAAAAAGTAAGTCACAAAATAAATTATAAAATTGAATCAGTCTTAAAATTTTGCTAGTTTCTAGAAAATTTTTTTTTAACAAGAACATTTTGCATAATTATATTTGTTTCACATACCAGTTGTAGGAATAACACACATTACTATTTAAAGCTATGATCCTAAACCCTTTTTTGGGAACAACAGTATAATATCCTCCTTGGGATATAGTAGATCGTGCAGATTCTGGTAACCATCCATATCCAATCCACAGATCTGCCACTAATTTATATAGCCAATTTGTAGTTAAATTGTTTTGTGTTATATTTTTTGGTGCAAATCTATATATAATTTAAAAAATCATGAATTATAATTATGTTAATATTCATTTGCATATTTTAAATATTTTTGTAATATATAGTTTTATAAATTTACAATACAATTAAGGAAGTGAATAACTTATTTTAAAACATAATAGATGAACAGATTTTGATATATTTTTTTATCTTTAATCAGAAGAGTTTCAAATTATAATACACTGCTTATAAAAATTAAAGGGTATTTCAAAATGAATATGAAGCGATAAATTTGATTTTATTAAACAAAAACATCATAAAAGCACCGACAAAATTGAATAACTTTCTTTGATTTGTTGTTTACTTTTCTGATCTTTTTGTTTAAAAAATCAAATGCTTCTTTTTTTATGACTTTATATTCATTGAAGTGATATTTTGAAAATCTCTTAATTTTTGTGAACAGTATATTTATATCGATTTTGAGTTATGTTTATAATTGTTAATTGTAAAAATTAAAATCAATACTATTTCAACTATTAAATTTTAAAAAATATAATATATATTTTTTATGTAGAATATTTATATAGAATTATTTGTAAATAAATTGTATGTATATACACATAACTATTATGAAATATTTTTTTGTATATTGTGAAGAATTTTATAGAAAATTTTAGTAATCTCACTGATTTAAAGGATTTGATTCATGATTTCCAAGTATTGGATACATTATAGTATTATTAAAAACACTATGGATATATTCATAAATTTTTGTAAGACTTTGTATATTTCCTTCCTTTGAAGTTTCCCATACTCCATGATCTACGATATCGCCAGTAAAGTATATGAAATCTATATCCTAAGAATTAAATTAAATTTTACTTAAAATATAATATAAATTTGCATTTTAGAATACTTGCAATTTATCATAAAATTAATTTTTAAACAATTTACTTTCTTACATATTTAATTTCTTACATATTTTAAACATATTTAATTTCTTTTTGTAAATGGTACATTATACTAATTCAGATTCATATCAAAGTAATAGAAAATATAAATGCAAGATTTTTAGAGCATATATGTTTTAAATAAGATTTTATGAATATTAAATTAAATGTATAATTAATTTTTTTTTTTATCAAATTAATTGTAGCATTAATACCTGATGTGTATCTTTCATGTGCTCTAAAGCATCAGTGACCGCTTGCCATGGAGTATCACAAGAGTTATAATCTCCCCAAAAGCCAGCGGATGAAGTCATATCAGGTTTATTTTGTCCTTTTCGACAACAAAGTGGTTCTCCACAATTTGAATTACCATTCGGTTCATATAGAGGATCATAATGAATATCTGTTATATGTAGAATTTTTATTTCGTCTTGTGTTTCATTTTCCTTAAGTAATGCATGAGAATTGTTATTAACATCAATAGTCCAGTCAAATTCAGGATCAGTCAAGGGACAAGATTTTGATTCTAGGACCACACCACAAATTGTAGTAGCCGTCAAATTTGGTTTGGAATCGATTATGTATAAAATGATAGGCTACAGAAATAATAAAAAAAATTAGAATAATTTATACAATAATTGTATATTATAAATATTTTGTTAAATTTAATTAAACGTATTACCAAATTTAAATCAATAGTTCCTTTGCAAACGTTTTCCTTTTGAATATTGAACAGTATGCATAATTTAATTATTTTATTTCTTATATCTTCTTCAGACATTCCTTTACGTCGTAAATTGATAAATACTTCTAAAATTCCACGACATATTGTACATATTTTAGAGCTTGCGTTCGTTGAAAATGTTCTCCAGTCCGAGTTCTGTAGTTCTGTAGGAATCTTCAAAGAATTTATCATATCTTTGAATAATTCTCTCTCATGGTGCAACTGCGTCCATAATTTAATTTCATTTGAAAACGAGTTCACGTCTATATCTGTTAATGAATCAATTTGTTATTTTTTATTTTAACATATGGTGAAATATTACGAAATATTACATCTTTGTTTATGAACATCTTTATTAATTCAAAGAAAAATTCTTTTTAACTTCAATTGGCGAAAAAAATTCGATATTTATTAAGATAATTAAAATTATTATTAAGACTATAATTCTGTTTGCATGTTATTCAATTAAGTATAATTCAATACTATTGTTTATACAGATCAGATATCTAATTATTGAAAATTATTACCTTAATTGAAAATTAAAAATAATTTTATCATTCAAAATTTATTTTCAATTATTTTACTTTACCTTCTGAATTCTGGACGAGGCCATTAACACTTAAAACTAATACAGTCAGAATTAATTGTTGGAACCACATTTCCGTTGTTTTCTGTGAACACTCTCTTTTGCACTGCGCGCAATTCGATGTGCTTCCAACTATTTCGATTTCTCTTTATCTTCGATCAGTCCTTTAACTGATAGATATCGCAATCTTGGGATACATTTCTCAATAACGAAGATTGAGAAAGCTTAATGAATTCCTTAAGGTTGAGAAACAAAAGGAAAGATAAAAACTTTCGACAAAGACATATTTATAATATGACTTTCATTCAATTTAATTTTAATACTTGACTGAAATCAACATTTTTAAATTCTTAATAAATCGATTAATTTCTAATGCATTTAGATGATTCATATAATGGTGTATTATCGAACGAATAATGAAACAACCCAGAATAAAGTAATTCTAGAAAAAAATAAATAAATTGAAAATTTAGATTCTTTTATCATAGTTTTTCATTTGAAATTTCATTTTTAACTTTCAAATTTATATTAAAGATCTATCGAATACACTTTGATAATCGGATAATTATATTACGTGCTGTTATATCAGTTTTTTTTTTTAATCTCTTATTAGTGTGAAAGTTATTAAAGATAACTTTCATTTTTTCTTTAGATTATTCTTTTCATCGTCTGATCTTCTTTATCGTACACAAAGGAAGCAAAAATCTATTAAATATAAGAATCAAATACAGAAAGTGTAATAGTGAAATAGTTATGCACTCATATAGAGAGATCAATAGATTGGAATATTGGCTATAAATATTGTCTGTTTTTCAATATATATTTTTTAATAAATAATTTCAGTTCAATTAGTAGATCAAATATTTGTTTGAAAATATCTTGAAAATATATGAGTCTTCGAGTGTCTAAGTATCACATAATATGATAGGAAATTTAATTCTTTCTCTTTATAAAACAATATTACTCTACATTGGCGAAATATATATCTATATACATACTAATAGTTGTAATTGTAGATTTAATAACAATAGAGTTTAACTTTGACCGCACAGTGTGACAATCAATCCTTGGCCTACTGCGAACACAAGTCGTGCAAGACGCGACACGTACCTAATAATTAAAATAAATTTCTTGTTTTATTGTTTTACACTAATTGTTTTACGCAAACATTTTGTATCGGGCACCGATCGGCGCTATTCGCATAAGAGAGCGGTTCCGGTTGCAAAAACGTCTGTAGGCACAATCAAAGAGTTAAAAATATAATTTTATTTAATAATTACTTGAACAAGGTCGATTATATTTTTATAAATATGGTGTAAATATTTTCATTAACATAATAAAAAAGAAATTAAATTTAGAATACGAGTTTAATAATAAATTGTTTAATAATAAGTATTAATAATTATTAAACAATTTATTATTATTAATACTTATTATATTAATACTATTATAATTATTAATATTTATTATTATTAATATTATATTAATAATAAGTATTAATAATAATAAATTGTTTAATAATAAATTGTTTCTTGTAGTTTAATTTAGTAATATATCGTTTAATAATATGTTGCTTATCATAGTTTATGTTTAGTTTAGCAATATATTATTTATTAATAACGGAATATATTTATTTTATTGTAATTATAGGATAATATTTTTTATACATTTCACGTTATTTTACATTTATGCTTTTAATTATAGACAACTCAAGATATGACAATATCTTGAATTTATCTTCTGGCGGATCATAACATTTGTTTGCATATGATTTATTTTGCAGTGATTTCTTTTTTTTTTGATCAGAGAATTCAAAAAATATGATTATATTTCTTAATTGTATTTTATTAATCTTAAATACTAAATTATCAACTATTATCATTAAAGTGTTATCACAAAAAAGATTGTAAAAAAGATTATCATCAATTGTACACAAAAAAGATTATTGAACATTAATTATTAAATTAAAATGAAATTAACTTTTTTGTGTGTACATTCTGATGATAATAGCTGATAATATTTAAATATTTAACATTAATGAGAAATATTAAGAGAAATGTAATCATGTCTATTAAACATATTATTCTTTTTTCCATACAATCTGATGATAGTAGCTGTTAATGCTATAATGTATTGATTTTATGATAAAAGCCAAAATTGTTTACTTGATCTTCTCAATACACTTCTAATCAAAGATGAGAGGAGAGTGAGATTACATGATTTTAAGGACAGAATCGTGACTTTATCTTGTAAATATGTGCCTCAACATTATCAATATTTGTGAACAAGCATTGAAGAAATATTGATTATTTTTAATCCCTACGTCGTTGATATGTATCAATATCAGATCAAGATATGCAGAATGACAGATAGCATTAATTTTATCACTATGTACTATACTTGATCAACGCATGCGAAGAAAGAACAATCATAGAGCTTCTTTAAAATTAAATACATTTAAATACTTATGTATAAGGTACCATGAAATTTTTATTTAATGTACGAAGTACTGAAATGGAAGATTTTATTTTTTTAGTTGAAATACGAAGAATCTCTACATTTCTCGCTGTTAGAGGAAGAAATCATGCATGAGAAAATATCTGTCTTCTAGAGGAAGGATGGAACGACATTTAAATACATATATGTATATAATGGAAAGGGTGCGAAGAATGAAAATTTAAAAAAACCAATCAAATCATTCTTTATTTTTTTAATATAATATCAACATATCAATCTGATTGCATTTTCGATCTGATAGTATCATTGATAATGATAAATATCAATATCAATGATACTATTTTTATGTTGATTTATATGATAAAACAGGAACTAAATTTTCCTAGTTTAAGATTATTTTCTTTTAAATGAATCTAAGTAGATTTTGTAAACCGTTTAAAAGATTAATTGAGTATCTTTATTTTCAATTTACCTACAAATCCTAGAGAAATATTTTAACAAACTGAATTTTTAAAATTCTTATTTATTTCTTTAATTTCATCAATATGAATACTACATTTTATATTTGATATTTTTGAAATGAAATTGAATTTAGATAATGTAAGCTAAATAATTAAAAAAATAGTGTGGATGATGAGTAATCAAGAACTGTACGAATGATTAATCAAGAATTGCGCTGATGATAGATATCAATAAACACATTCAAGATTTGAAATGTATGATATCACACAAGATAATGCATGTGTCAAAAATGACCATTGCAAGGATAAAATTCATAAAAATGCATTATGATTAAGGAACGAGAAAGTTCTACAACAATAGTTGAAGTTATTGTTATATTATTTTGTATTATTCTATTATTAAGTACAGTTAGAATAATAACTGATAATATGATTGATAAATAAGATTTATTTGTGTAATTCAATGTTCTGACATTAATATAATATAATTAATATATAATTAAATAATAATAAATATTAATATATAATTATAATATTAAAATAATATATTATTTATGTAATCTTTTATGCAGAGTTAAGGAAAATCTGTCTAATAATAAAATTTTATTCATCAATAATGAATTAAATATTTCATTGAATAAGAAATTATTAAATTTATGAAAATTTATTTGAATAAATATAGGAATAATTTATTCATATAAGAATGTATAAATAAATGAAGTAAGATCATATAAATTGAACTTTTAAATTTTATTGTTCAATTATTGTCAGTTTAGCTTTCTTCGGAATAAAATAATTGAGAATAATCTACAATTCTTGATGATATATTTATTTATTTTAATTCCCGGATATATGGATTTTTCACAATTAAAATTGTTTGAAGTCTATGTGATATCAAACGTGCCACTCTGAACTTTAGTTTCAATTGTTTTTGATTAAATTTATCCGATTTCTGTGAAATGATAGAATAACTTCATTTTCATCATTCGATTTGTTCCAGAATTAATCGAGTTTCCGAATTTATTTCTCTTCTGATTCCTTGTAAACACTTTGATGAAAGATCTAATATAATATAATTATTTTTATTTTTGTAGTAAATAATCTCAAATTTAAAAAAAAATATTTAATACTTTAATGTACTTCTTTCAAATTTTCGTAATAATTTTAACTGCTAGACTATTTAATTGTTCTATAATAAATACACACATGCGCGCACTCTCTGTCTCTCATAAATAGAATTAGTAAACAATAAAAATAACAAGTAACTAACTAATTTATTTGCTTTATAATATTTAAACTTAAATTAATTTAAGTTTAAAAAATTTATAATATATAATTTAAAAAATTAATAATATATAATTTTATTCAAATTTTATTATAAAGGAACATGAGGTATTTCGATATCGTCAATGGCGAGATCCTCAAGCATTTCTTCAAGACTAATTTGTGGATAACTAGGATCAGATAATTCATTGGTATCAACCGGAATAGATTTCCTAGAATCTTTGAAAATATTTATATTTTGTCTCATTTCTGGATCTTCTTCAATGTCTTCCAAAAATTCATAATAATCACTAAAACAGATTATAATTATAAATTTAGTTTTTCAATATAAGACTAGAATTATTATAATTTTATTTGATATTCTTTTGAATATTTAAGATAGTTATTAGAATATAAATATAAATAAATACTTAAGATTATTAAATAGAATATTATACAACTTACTTATTATCTGTATCCATACTGTCCGTTTCTTGTATCATATGTTTTAATTTCCAAGCTCTCATTCTACGACGCGCTGTTCTATCTTGTGTATAATTCTTTTTTATTAAAATTACATCTGGTATTACGTCTTTATTCAACATTTCAAAATTCTCATCATTAATGTTACTCTCGCTAAGAGCATACCTAAATATAATTTTTTAATTAATTGCATTTTTTAATTTTATATATATATTATTTATTAATTATATTTATTACATATTATTATATTATTTTTTACCCTAGAACTGTATCACCGGGTTTTAATATATGACCAAGATGAGTACGTGTATGAATTAAGTTCTCGTTCAATCCTAAGTCCGAACTTCTAACTAACCATACATCTGCTATTACATGCTAGAAATAAAAAAGATAATTCAAGATTTACTTCGTCTAAAAGCGATGTTATAAAGAAATATATTCTTTTTAAGAACGAAAAATTATATTTTTAACATATTATGTAATGTGAATTTCGAGAAAGAGTGAGTATTGGAACAAAAACGTTTATTTAGACTGTGCTCCTGCTTCCCGAACATTTCATAAATTTCGAAATAATTTCAATTCAGACGATTTAATCTAAACGTTTTCTGAACGACTAATTGAGGTTTATTAATATTGTTGTGGATCTTAATGGAGAATAATATAAGAATTACAACTATATAATTGATTAATAAAACTCTTTACTTTAAAATGTAATCGCTTGTACTTTATTTTCAAATCGGGCATGAACTTTTGCAATCATCCAATATATACAAAAAAATTTGTAATCATAAATTTAAGATTTCATTTTGAACTTGAAAAATCTTTTTCTTGCAACTATTGTATTTTAGAAAGAAATATTATAATTACTTAATACCTTATGTGAAATAGCTCCCTGTCCAGGGAAAAACTTTCTATCCTTGTATTTTATTTGTTCAATATCCATTACTGTGTATTCTATCAATTGCTTTGGGTCACAAATACTATTGAAATTATGTCTCCAATAAAGTGTAGCATTTAACTCTGCAACTAAACAAATAAATAATTTTGTGTGAATTGTATTAATTGTAGTTAAATTGTAATTTACAAATCAGATAAATAAATACAGAGAACCATACTTTGTCCAGTTGATACATCTATTAAATGTATAAAATTTGTAATTTTATATACTAAACAAATTGCGTTTATTCCTCCAAGTTGATGACTTAATTTTCTTGGAAGACATACTATGCTATCTCTTGATATTGGAACTATTTCCACACTATAAACGAAAATATATACATTATTCAAAACAATTTACAACTTTATTATTATTAATGTAATTGCATTGATAAAACAGATATGATATACTGACATGTTATTCATATGAAAAGTAATTTTTAAGACAATTATACAATTTTAATATAGTTTTACATTAATATTCATAAAAAGAATAATTTTAATTAAAAAATATATATATTTAAAATAAAACTTATTATAAAATCTGTTTTAATAATAGTAAATTTATCTAAAATGTTCCTATATACTATAAATTCTATAGTAAGGAGTAATAAAAATATTCACATTTAGCATTTTTTAAAATAGTATACTAATACATATTAGGCTCTTACCTATATGTAAATTTATAGTATACTAATACATAATAGGCTCTTACCTATATGTAAATTTATAATTATAAATATTGCTATGGATATCATGTGATATCAATTTTTTGGAATGATTATAACGACAAGGTATAACACTTGAAAGGAAATCAACCATTTTGCGTGCTGTCGCTTCATTTGTATAAAAGAAATCTAGACCTTCTGCAAATAATCATAATTAATTACAAATTATTATACTTAATAGTTAAGAGATTTAAACTCTTCTGCAATTTATTTTTTAATATTTCTAAATAATTTAGATTTCTTACCATGAATAGGTTTTATTCCCAAAGTTTGTTCATGTGCTTTGTATTTCAACATTAATTGTTCTAGATAATAAAATGTTTTTTTATTTGTCGCTCTTTGTCGCACTTGTACCTATAAATTGTAAACAGAGAAAATAATTTTATTATTACAAATTAAATTTACTTTGTTCTTATTATATAGTTAATTAATACATATTAAATAAAAATAATATAAAGCTTAAGCTTTGTTAATGTAATCGCATTCATGACTATATTGATTTATTGAAATTACAAGTTTTTACATTTCTATATATAATATGAATCTCACCAATGCATGCCAATAATCTTTAGCTTCTATTCGATGACAATCATTACACATTTGATGGTTTATAGTATATTCAACTATAAATACTTGTTGCAAAATTGCTCCATTCATAACTTCAGCTTGCACTGTCAGTTTTACCTAAAAATGTAATATAACAAAAAAATGAATTTTTCATAATAAAATTATTAAATAATAAATACCTTTAATCTCATAGAATGAGGTTCTGTCCATACAAATCCAGCATCGATTAATTTCACTCGGTTTAGACCTTTTAATTTTTTTAAACATAATGTTAATAATTCTCTAGATTCTAATGCAGCATGAATCCATTCTGCAGGTGGTTGTAAATATCTAAAACAATTAAACTTTTTCTTTTATTTTGGAAGAGATAATTAAAAAAACATAAGAAAGTTTCTTAAATTTTTCAAAGTATTAAATTCTTCATAACATCACTGTTATTATTTTAATACTTTATGATAGTAATAATCATAATACTACATTTTTAAAAGTCTCATTTCATTTGGATCATTTATTAATTTCATTGAAAAAAGTATAATGAAACAACATTTTAAATGAGAAACATTTTAATTCATTATAAATTTTATATTTCTCACAATTTATGACAAAATATATCTTAAATATTTCACAGGTGAGATTAAATAGAATCTGACAAAATTATCAAATGTTACTTAAATATCCTTAGTATATCTATAATATTATGTCAATAATGGCCAATAATTTATCTTATGTGAAGTCTTTATCTTTAACATAACATTTATATAAAACTTCTTTTAGTTTTATTTTTCATTTATATTGCTTAAATATCAAAAAATAAAGAAATAATACGTATAAATTATGTTATGTTACCTTTCACAGCGTTTACAAAAATGAATTGTTGCTTGTTTAGGAATATTCTCAGTGACGTCTATTTGCGTTCTTAAACATGCTACACACATATTTGCTGGATTTGGTTCAATACCAATGCCGCAAATACAACATAATCTAAAATGTAATTATTTGTATATCAAACGACGTAAAATAGCATTATAAATAATATAGATACAATAATAACATAATACAAAAAATAACATTTATATTTAATACAAATAGATAAATATTTAATGCACAAGCCATTTTGAAAAGTTTAACATTTCTTAACCCTTAGAAATTTATAAATAAAATTTATAAGTAAATTTTATATAAAAAAAATTATAAAGTTTATTTACTTTTTATAAATCTTGCAACTGTTAAGATATTAAGGTTATGTTTACTTACATCATCGTTTCTTGTCGAACAGGCTCGTTTAACACTTCCATTATTTATATTTACTTTTATGGAATTATTTGCAAATAATTTCTTTGAATGGAACGGAGCTAAACAATTTGAAAATATTAAATGAATCTAGAAATATGTGAACAAATGATACTACCCCATACTACTTAAATATAACCACGTGTAAATTGGTGTTAACTTCAGGTTTAAAAGATTAATTACATTCATCATCTAATTTAGATTTACTCCAGTTCGGTCTAATTTTTCATTTTGTATACCAAATTATGTTCTATTTTTTAATTTTCAACATTAATAATTACAATAATTTTTATTTCAATCCATTTTCTTTTTTTTTTGAAAATATTAAAATAACGTTATATTGCACATTGAGATATTTATTTAATAGTTGACTATTTTGATTTATTATTATTAATTTATTAAAATTAATTTATTATTATTAATTTATTATACAATGCAACGTACATTGAAATCGCAAATTTTTGGAACACGCAACGTGGAATAGAACATTATAAGGGAGTGTCCAATCTAGTTTCTTAAAGTTTACGACACATTTGAAAAGAAGCTACTTTCATTCAGTATCGAATTGTTGCAGTGTGTACTGTGTTTCGTCGACAGATAAATAAATGTTGGAAGTGAGAGTATGTTTATTTAATATGAATCTCTTTTGTTCTTTATATTTCATTGTTGATTTATCTTTATTACTTACAGGTGTATTAATACAAAAATGAATAATCAATTTTGTTACGATGTTCATCCATTCAAATAACCAGTTTGCAGTTTTGATGTAATATATTGGAGTCAATTAATGTACAATAATTTATAAATATTACAAAGATTATAATATTATAATGTACGTATATTATACATAATATTAATATACAAGTATCATATATCCAAGTCAGCATTTGTAAATATGTATTCTAACATTTATGTTGATTACATAAATTTTCCATTTTAGTAAAAAATGGCTCCAGTACCTTTAGAAGGTCATCAAACACCTGTAACCAACAATATTCCACAGGAAGGGAATCGTGGTGGTTCCATTTCTCTCGGCATGCTTATTGATTTCATCATACAACGTACTTATCACGAACTCACGGTGTTAGCTGAATTGTAAGAAAATTTACATAATGCATTCTTTTATAGTGCACAAAGTAAAAATTCAACGTATATGAAAAATCAATAAGGTCAAATAGGATTTAATGTAAAAGTAATATATATGTTTTATACAAATTATGTATGTTCACAGATTACCTCGCAAAACTGACATGGAACGCAAAATAGAAATTTATAATTTTTCGGCTAGAACTCGACAGTTATATGTGAGATTATTAGCATTGGTCAAATGGGCCAACAGTGCTTCCAAAGTTGATAAATCTGCGGTACATTATTTTTTATTTATCATGATGTTTTGAACTTTATAATATAATTTGTCGTTGTTGAATAATTATTGGCTAAAGAGAAATTTTTTTACAGCATATAATGGCCTTTTTGGACAAGCAGTCTTTGCTTTTTGTCGATACAGCTGATATGCTTGCAAGAATGGCTCGTGAGACACTAGTACATGCAAGATTACCTAATTTTCATATTCCTGCTGCTGTAGAAGTTCTTACAACTGGAACATATAATCGCCTACCAGCGTGCATAAGAGTAATTTTAATTTACGAATCTTCGTCATATATTAATATATTAATATAATGTCATTTTAAAATTTTTAAATCAATTTTCTCAAAAAATCTCAAACTGCATTTACATAGACATGTACATGTTTTTGACAGGAAAGAATTGTCCCTCCAGATCCAATTACACCAGCAGAAAAAAGAAGTACACTTCAGAGATTAAATCAAGTTATTCAACATAGATTAGTTACTGGAAATTTGCTCCCACAAATGCGCAATTTAAAGATTGAGGCAGGAAGAGTGACATTCCTTGTGGAACAAGAATTTTCAGTATCACTTACAGTAATGGGAGATGGTCCAACAGTACCTTGGAGATTATTAGAATTGGAGATTCTAGTTTCGGACAGAGAAACAGGAGATGGAAAAGCTTTGGTGCATCCATTGCAAACTCGTTACGTACATCAAGTATTATCTCTTTAAATAAATTACTATGCTATTTGTTTTATCTTTTAATTATTTAATATTAAATAATTAAAATTCTAATTGCAAGGTGGTTCAATCAAGGTTAGCAGAAAGTTCGAACCCGTTATCTGAAGTTTACCATATTTTACACTATTTCTGCCAATCATTACAATTAGAAGTACTTTATTCACAAACATTACGATTAATACGAGATAGATTGGATGATCACATTCATGTGGATGAATATACACCAGGAAAATGTCTCTCAGTCTCATATTGGAGAGAATTAACTAATAAAGATCCTCGATCAGAGTTGGGATATAAATTAACAGTTCAAGTTGATCAACATGATCCTGCAAGGCCTCTTGCAATAGTACATGTTCCATCTTTAGGCAGCAAGGAAAGTGAAATAGCAGACAGAGCAATTAGATCAGATCAATTATCAATGGAATGTTTGTTAGTGCATACAATATATGTACGTACTAGAAGTAGATTATTAGATCTGAAGCAAGAACTGCAAACAATGTTGAAAGATATTGAATGTACACTAGCTGGTTCACCTGCGATTCTCTCTGTTCCAATTTTGCAACCTTGTTTAAGAGCGGAACATTTATTAGTTACCGTTGATACGCATACTGGAATGTTGCAGTGTCATGTACCTCAATACGAAGTTCCTTTAATTCCTGAATTAACTACTGCTTTAAATGGTGATCATTCTCGTCTTCCAACTTTAATATCAGAGCTTAGGTAATATTTTCAAAATTTTTGTCTTACTTTATTTCTTTCTCTTTTTTTTTTTTATCTGTTCTTTATTATTTGATGTGGCTAATTTTATTCTATTTGATGTCACAGATTTTGGATAACACAAAGACGATGTGAAAAAACACTTCAACATCTCCCGGCAACTTCCCACGAACGTTTGCCAGTACTTCTTCATCCTGATCATCCAATGTCAAAGATTAGTAGACATCGTATGTTTGTTCAACTCCATCGACATCCTACAGTAATTTTAATAGTAGCATTTAAGGAAAAAGAAATTTCACCATGCGAAATTGAGTGTTCGTTTTATCTTGCTGTCGTAAAACATAGTTCCATAGAAGATGATCCTCATGATGATAGCATTGAGACAGAAATTCCAAAAATGTATTTAAAAGTTCAAAGTTTAATTGAGTTTGACACCTTTGTCATAACTCATGGTCCTTTCACTAGTGTTGATAATGGTCAGTATTCTAAATTATACAGTATGTTATTAAATTTTTTAATAAAAAAAACAAATAAACAAAATTATGTTTAATATATCACAGAAGCTTCGGAAGCGAATAACGCTAAACGAAGAAGTACAGGACCTAGTGGAAGATCTGATGCCAGTGCTACATTACAGAACAGAAGATCCAAACAACCTGCATATTTTATTCCAGAGTTGGCACATGTAGTTGCACTTTGTGATGAAAGAATACCATTTGTAACATTAGCACAAGAATTAACTAAAAGAGATATAGCACATCAAGGACTTCAAGTTGAAGCAAACGCTACTGCATTAGTTTTAAAACTGGTTCAGTTACCTGCCCCGTCTATAGGAATAAGTACTAGCTGTGCTTGGTATGCTCTTCTTAAAAGATTACTCAGTGTTTCAATTAGAGTTCAGGGTAAAGGTATGGCTAAAACATGGATGGCTGAGTTTGTATTTTATGGAAGCCCTTTATCTAGCAGCCATCCAAAAGAACAAGGTAATATATTATTGAATATCTTCAAAACTTATATATTATACTATGTTTAAATAATATATAAAAAAATATGTTTAATTTGTATTAGGATTACGAAGACCAGTATATTTTCAATATGAAATGGGTACAGCAGATACGGTTTCACGTACAGTAGATGCATTACTTAATGATTGGGCTCAAATTGTATATCTTTATTCTATTGTACATGATTTAGCAGAGTATTTCAAAATGGGTATAGTTCTCAATTTTATTAGAGAATTAAATTGGAAATTATATTAAGATAATTAAATTTATGTTTATATTAACAATTAAAATTTTTAATTTGAATGTTTCTTTTATGTTACAGAGAAATATAACTTGCGCAATATGATTAGTATAAAATCATATAACTATAGTAAATTGGTTCTTATTTATGGGCCTAATCGTGGAGCTACTGTTACTGTGCAATGGAGTACCAATGACAAAGCATTTAAATTAATTTTTGGGAAAAGTAAGTAATTATCTTTTATTTTATATTAATTATATAGCATATTCACTTTAGTGATCTATATAATTCTTTATCTATTTGTGGTAATATAATAGAAAAAGTTATTGATACAAATTTATTTATATTAAGTGACAATGCAATGGTAGTACAATGATATATTTTTTATGATATCATAAATATCAGATATAATCAGATTAATTTAGTATTATAATGTACCATTTTTTTTAGATTTGTAATAATTTATAAATTTACAATAACAAGTTTTCAGTATATGTGAATGCTTTCTGAAATTGATTTTTAATTTATTATTATACTTTATTGATATAAACTTTTTTTAATGTTTTAAATTTTTAGTATATCTTATAGTCTTAAATCTTATAATTCTATAGTATATCTTTTTTCTTTAGTATAGTCTCTCTATAGTCTTAAATCCATAAATCTTTAGTATATCTTGATGCAGATTTATCAGAACATAAAATACAATATTTAGTATTATATTTAATATTATGTCGATGTTTTTTGATTGTACTTCCGTAAATTTTCTAAAAATTGAAATACTAAAAATAAGGGTATAATTACGTACCGCCCTATATTTACTCCTAATTTTTTTAGCTTTCCTACTTTATTGCAATTTTCCTACGTTATTGCTTTATTCAATATTTTTAAATATTATATGACCTTAAGTTTTTTTATTATTACTATTATAGAGATAATCAGAGAAATATAGAGATTATCAATCATAGTGTATTAATATAGAGATTATCAATCATAGTGTATTATCAAAATTATAATAAACTATTTCCAAATTATTTTTTATTGCATTCCAAATTATTTTTATTGCTAATTTAATACAAGTATTATTTTTACATTATATACAAACATCTTATATACTTATATATTCAATATATTTTTACTAATTTAAAACTTTTTATATTAACATATAGGTCCAACTAGTACTATTACTAATGCTCATTCAATTATGAAGGAACAACTTGAAGCTCATTTAAATAGACACAGAAATTTAGCGCAACTTATACACATTCTTCATGAAACACTTCAACCTCTCACATCAATCAGTAAATTGCCTACGATACCACAACTTTGTGTTTATAATTCGGTATGGTTCAAAATTTGTTTTACTTCATTTTTGTTTATTAAATATTATTATATTTTTTTTCATTGTACTACCTGTAAATTTTATATCTTTTATAGAGACCTCAAGTACCAGTACAAACTTTTACTATCATGCCACAATGTGTAACTCTAGTCAGAATTGCGTATCAGGGTATGTATTGTTTAGAACTCCGTTTGCGAGGAAGTGGTTTAGTGAGTTTGCGAGATGGAGCATACAGCCGTTTTGATAGAAGTTACGTTGTAGATGAATTCACTCCCACACAAGGTCTCAAGGTAATATTATTACATTTAATAATAATTGTTCATAATTTAATATTAATAAATATATTAGAATTATATTAAAAAATATAATACTTCCGAAGATTATTTCTTATGAAATATACTTTGTATCTTAAAGTATAGAATATTTTGTATGATTTATCTTTTTATTAATTTATATTCATTTGCTGATTATACAGGCCTTTTTATCTAAATATGTGGATGAAAGTGCAGTCTCTCGTAGAAGATCTCAATCAGAAGATGATAATCCTCCTTCTCCCGTAACCATGGATAGCGATGGTGGCAGTGGAAGTGGAAATGTAGGTTTTTTAAGTCATCATAGAAGCGGACCCCAATCACCTGCACAACAAAGAGATGGATTAAGATTTCATCCACCTTTAACTCCACCTTCTGGTAGTAATCCTCATACTCCAGCTAGTCCACATACTGCTAACATATCACAGGTAGCTTTCGTATTTATTTCAAGGCTATATATATTCTGGTATTATGTGTTTTCTTTTTACTTTTAATTTCCTCCAGACAAATCAACATCAAAGTTTTGGAAGTAGTCCAGCCACTTCCTTCAATTTGGCTTCACCACCGTCACTGCCACCGAATACTCCCAACATGTTACCGCATCCTTCACCAGGTTCTGGATTAGTTGCTAATAGTCCTCTAAATCCGATGCATGTTCCTAGTCCAGCTGGATTAATGCCAACATCTTCACCAGGACCATGTAGTAATGTTCCAGTAGGACATTCTCCTGCAGGATCCTTCATGCAAACTGGTAAGAAATAATTAAAAATTTAAATTTTGTTACAAGATGGATTATTTTAAAATCATGGTACTTAAATTATATGGGAATTTTTTTATATTATCAAGATATAATTGATTAATATTTTTGAATTCAATTCAGCATGACTGCAAAGGCATATGTGTGTTTATTTATCTATTATCTCTTATCCATTTTTTTTATAAAAAGTGTGTAAAATATAAAATCACAAAATAAAATAAAACATCTAAGAATAGATTATGTGCAATTAAATAAAAATTTAGTTTACTATTAATAAAAGAATTTGTAAAGAAGAATTATTTATTTTTTCATTATAAATATTAATTTTGTGCCACTGTCAATTTAGCTCCTGGAAACAAATTAAGTTGAAAAAATGAGAGGTGAATAAGTTGAACATTTTGGTTTTATATCATTTTCGCAAATTGTTATTATTTTATAGTTTTATTTTCTTTTCTTTGAATTTATTTTTATTAATTTATATTCTTAATTTAACTTTAATATCTTTGTAAAAAAATTTTAAATTTCAAAGTAACGTTATAAACAATCCTTTTCCAATTTTGTTAACAAGTTATATTTGTTTAAAAAAAAATAACAATTGTAGTATGGATTATTTTCCTTTCATCTTTCCAACAAATGTAGTTTTAATTGACGAGTCGTACAAGTAAATTTATCATATATTTAAATTTCCTAATAGAATCATCTAAATATAAAACTTTATAATCTTTTATTTGAATGTAAAAAATAGATTTTTTTTTTTACATTATTAAGTATATAAAATATCATAAATTTTAAATTATATTGAAATTATAAAATGTATATAATATTTTTTAATAAGTCTCATTGATAACTATTAAATTATAATAAATTTTGTAATAATTATTTATTTAGGACATATAGATGGAAGTCCATTCCCATCTTCACAGAGCATGGCTTCTCCGGCAGCCTCTAATTGGCCAGGATCACCTACTGTACCTAGACCATCTCCAGCACGTCCTGCACAGAGTCCAGGGCACGCAGCGTTACATAGTCCACAAGCTTCCGATCATAAAGCTGGAACTCATATCTCAAGAGTACTTCCTCAACGTTCATGGGCAGGAGCTGTACCCACGCTTCTAACTCATGAAGCTTTGGAATTACTTTGTTGTCCTTCTCCACACCCTTCTGGATTTCCTAGTCCTGATCTTTCGCCACTTGAAAGATTTTTGGGATGCATTTATATGCGCAGACAGTTTCAACGATTCATACAAACTGATGATTGTGTAAGGCTATTTTTTAATAAGTATTTTTTATCTACTAGTTATTTGTTTTGTACCTTAGAAATACAATAACATTTATATACTTTATTAAATTATTTATAGTTAACAGCGATAAATAGTACAGAACCAGGAGTTGTACACTTTAAGGTAGAAAGTTTACAGTGTCGGGTTGGCTTAAATCCACAACATTTACAATCTCTTCACATAAAGGTACAACCTCTTCCAGAACATAAAGATCAATGGACACTTGAGGAATTACAAGTAATACTCGTTTCATAATTGAAGTTTTCCCAATTTTTTTTTCTCTTAATATTTTATTTTTATGTATTCTTTTTTTCTTTCTCAGATTATAGAAAAGTTTTTTGATACAAGAGCAGCAGCACCGCCATACAAACCGAATACGCTTTCCGGTTTTGGTAGAATGTTAAACGTTCCATTCAACGTTTTAAAAGATTTTGTACAAATTATGAAATTGGAATTAGTACCTGGCTTAGCGCAACAACAGCAACTTAAATGGAACGTGCAGTGGTGCTTACGAATTCCTCCTTCTGCAACTCCAATTGTACCCACTGGCATGGCTGCAGTACTAGTTTGCAGAAATAAAATTCTTTTCTTTGTATATATATATATATATATAATTATCTTTATTGAAACAATAACGGATTAAAATAACAATGTCATATTAATTCATTATCTGTTGCATATTACAGTTACAAATAACAAGAATTGGATTACCATATCAAGGAGAAACACCGTCGCTCGTTTTACCACTGGTTTACGATGTTAGTACAAACTTGACGCAATTAGCAGAGAAAAGAGATCCAAGTCCTGCTTCAGCAATGGCAGCAGCGTCTTTGCAATTAAAGAGATTTGCCGAATATGGTGCGAATCAGTCCGAATGTTCCCTGTTTCCTGCAGTTAGAGATTTATTAGCCAACTTGACTCTTCCTTCAGAACCTCCAGTTATGTCTCAGGTAAACAGATAACGTATTTTTAAATTTTTTAAATACTAAACCAGAATAAAGTTATTATTTTGAGTGAAATTTATTAACAGAAACGAGAAATTTCACCTATTGTTTATAGATTTAAAAATGGTAGTATTTTAGTTTTGTAGGGATACTTGATACATATATATAATAAATTCTTGCCTTTCTTTAAAGTGCATTATATTAGTAGTTTTACTTAATTTTGTTCTATTATATTTTATAAATATATTGCATAACTTATTCAATAAAATTTTCATATTAAATAAGGTTTTTAAAGCTAACTTGACATTTATATTTTTATATTTTAAATAATATGTAAAATTAATTTTTGATATTAATGTTTATCATAGAATTATAATACAGCTTGTGTTTATTTACAAAACTATTTTGAATAATGATTGTATAATATTTGCTACATTTTAATATGAAAATTAGTTTATAAGTAATATTAAGCTTGCAAATGTATTTAGATTTTTGAGAGAACTTATCTGACCATAAAAATACCAGTCAGAGTAAAATTGTAATGAATTAGAAAATTAAAATTAAAATTTTAGTTGAAATTTACAATAAAAATTGAATTACTGCTAAAACTATTTTGACAGTAATTTAAATATATTTCATAATGAATTATCTATTACAAAAATTATTGCCTTTAGGTAGTTCCATCGCCAGCTAGTGGCCAAGTAACACCAACACAACAGATTCAAAGTCCTGCGATGCAATTGCATTCACCTATGGCTGGAAGTCAAGGTCCTCCGCAAGCATATGGAATTCAAGGTATGCCTCCAATGGGCATAATGGGTGGACCACCTCAATAGGACATGCTTTACTCTCCTAACCCCCTAAGCTTACCGAATCAGTCAACATGGATCAACTGAATCGTATTGTAAAGTCCGTTTTAAAAATATGCATAAGTCTTTCTTATTTTTTTAATACAACGGACCATAGTGGGGAATTGTAGGAGAGTTGTTTCATCAAGAAGAAAGCTTATTTCGTAAAATTTCGTATTGTTAACTGTATTTGTAAAAATTGGAACTAATAGTCAAAATATTATTCATGTAACTTTACACACATTACAAACGAATAGTATTAGCATTAAATTTAAGGATAGACGGACCACTTTCATTTGCAAGTGATTTATCAATTAATCAATAATTGATTAATCAATAATTTACTTTCAATAAATTTTATCTCTCTTTTAATAATCTTGTACTTTTACATAATTGTGTATTGTTATGTTCAAGACATCAGTTGTAAAAAAAAATTATATTGTAATCTTTTTTTATAGTACAAATCTCACGGTGTTAAAAGATAAATTACAAAAATCATTCATAATATTTTAAATTCTTTATGAGAAAGACCAAACTTTTTTGAATTTTTCAATTTAGTAAATTGTAGAAAAAGTTAATTATGGCAACTAAAACTTTTTTTTTATTATAAAATAGTGACTGTGATACTAGTTCAAATATAGAATAAACAAATTTTACAATTAAATTATAAAATGATAATTTAAAATCATATATGTAATAAATTGTATCTTCAACTTTCAGTTGAAATTATTTGAATATCTTTATAGTTAGATATTATCTTTATTATATATAGGTATCATTAATGATAATATTATTATAAAATTATCTCTGGTGCTGTTAAAAGTGTAAAAATTTTTATATCATAATTGTAAATTAAACATTTTTAACTCTAACAATGTTTCTAAGTTTGTTTAGTTCCAGAGAGTCAAAATTTTTAAGATTTATTAGTTAAATAAAGATATTTGTTTATATCCAGTTATGAGTAAACAGAAATACAATAATTTATAACATATTGTTTTTATTATCATTTCTGCAACAACATAAAATGCTACTTTTAAAATTATCACTTTTACTTTATAAACAAATTTTTGAAATATTTTTATGAAATATAGAATTATAATAAGATTGGATTTGTTTTTCGTAATTTATAATTTTGGAAAAATCTTATTTGGTAATAATAATTATAAGGTAATTTTTTTCTCTAATTATTCTATTATTTGTTTAACACAATGCAAATAATCAATAAAATTTCGTATAATCAATACGCGTATTAATATGCGTATAATCAATAAAATTCTTTTGGGCTAATAATTTGTACAAAAGTATTATATATTTTTTTATGTAGTTGAGAGGAGATAAGAAAAAATTCGAATTTATAAAGAATACAAAATCTTTATCATGAGTCTTCTACATTATTAAACAATATCAAATATACATTATAAAATATTACAAATTTTTATTATACATTTTAACTTGTCTTATAAACAAAGAGATTATAATATGCGTCATTTATACATATTAATGTAATATAGTAAATACAACTTAATAAAATAATGCAATATAATATTTCATGTTAATTACTTTTATATATAAATATAATTATATTCTGTATACTATATATATACAGAAAGTAGTTCAACGCAAGCATATGTAATTTGTAAACTCTTCATTTAATTTTGTACTGATTTATTTTCAAAACTGAACAATAATTTTTTTATTAATAAAATTAATTTTCCAATTAATCCTAATTAAATTAATGACTAAATCATTGGCGTTCTATTTAAAAAAATTAAGTAATTGCATTTTAAAGCTTTGTACTTATAGGTTTTTAATTATTAGTCGAATTTAAATTTATTCACATTTAAGTATTTGTAAAAAATATTATTTGACAAACGTTTCTATTTTGATGAATATTTTTAAAAGAGTAATGATTAAATAGACGAATATATCCTGGCCGAGTTTCAAGTAAGCTTAAGCCAATTTTCACTTCTGTGAAGGAAGGAGCCAAGAAGGTACGGTGCACTCACTGTTAGTCTATGTGGTCAACAGCAACACCAACAAGTTAAAACTGCAAACGAAAATGTTTTGTGCGCGATATGAACTAACAAATGATTGCGTGAACTGCTCCAGTTCATTATCATTAGATCATCCACAAAAATCATTACAATACAAAAGTTATAAAAGTTTTAGTAAACTATATATATATAGTGCTCTCATATAAGCGTATAAAATTTATTTTGCAAATATATTTACTTTTAGTCAATTTATAATTTTATTTATACATATACGAACTTACAAATAATAGAAATATATATATGTATATATAACAATATAATATAATTATAGTTATTAAAAATAACTAATCAATTACAGATTTTAATAATAGAAATATTGCAACATTAAATGTTCCCAATTTGTTCAATGTCTATAATAATACTGATTATTAATATAAGAAATTATCCTATATCCTTTTTTGTTATGAATAAATATCGATGCTGTAAAAATATGGTTAAAGCAAAATAATTATGCTAAACTTATTGTTATTAAAATGAAAATAAATTCAAAGTGAAACACTTAACTTTCGAGGTAATATAAATACAATATTTTCATTGTTGTTAATTCACCAAGCATGTTTCGACGATACGTCAATGCAAGCTAAAAGAATGCATTTATTTTAATGTTTTGTTTAACATTAAAAAAGAAAAAAAAATATTTTGATTTAAATCTTTTTTAATGTTATAGGAAAGCATTCTTCCTTCAATTATCATCAACGATGATATGGTTTTTGATTAAACATTCCAATGAAATATTCTTTTTGTGAATTAAGAGGCATCAGTGAGAAGTGCAAGCCTACCGTGTTGTGGTCGCCAGTAACAGCATGCCAAATGTAGAGCTAAAATAATAACCAGGATTTCAACAAATGCTAATCCAGCAGCAACGCCGATTACTATAGCTGCATTTTCTTCGATTGTCCTTATTATTGCTTCATAACAACCCTGTAATAGTTGTACAATAATTGTACTTTTATATATTTCGAACAATCTTTATTATGAATTAATTATAAACTTAATTAATCCAAACAAAGCATTTTCTAACCTGTTTATGATAAGAATTGCTGGAAGTAGGGCTAATGGAGCAAGATGGATCCTTCAAAACATTGTTTTCTTTCATACAACATGCTTCAGGCACAATTTTATCTGTAGATGTCCAATTGATGCTCTCTCGAAAATCCAAATAATTGTCTACTCCACAACAATGAAGCTAAAACATGTAACATGTATCTCTTTGGATATTTATTGATTAAAATTAAATATTAATTTTCATCATGAAAATTTGTCCAAAGATTTATAAGCATTCATTTGTCTTTAATTTTTTTAATTGGTTAATTGTTAACTGTAAATTCTTAATAACCTGTGTCATTATGCCATCCCATGCCACTGTAATTGTCTCTGTTTTGTCAATATTACTGGCATAATATTTGATGGTAGATTTGAGAAAATTTCGTGTACCTTGTTCTGCCTGAAAGGATTACGACAAATAAAATAATATCAATTTCTATTTAGGATCAAACATGTATTATTTTATGTTGAAATGAAAGAAAATAAACTTACATTTCCTTTAAGCCCGAAAGCTAAACCTACTACAACACATTCCAGGATCAAAACCAGCAGAATAAGAACACCATACTATAATTAAAAACTTGATTACATTATATGATATTAAAATTTGATTTGTTTGATTATGAATACTTACAACACAAAGAAGACACCGAGACTCGAACATTGCTCCACAGTATCCCAAAAAACTGATTAAGAAAGTCAATGCTCCTGCCAAAATCAGGATATATGATATTATCCTGATGACATCGGCATCCGTTTTATTCTACAACAAAATAATTTAATTTAACTTTACAATTAATATACTATCAAATTAATTTTTTATTACAAATAGTTTGGTACAATCCTTAGTGTGTTTAAATTTATTTCAAAATCAAATATTAAACATAAAAAATATATTCCATTATGGTGGAAAAAAATATATATTTTAATATACAAATTAATACATAAGTTATTTTATACATAAAAATATAAGTAAAATTCAAATTAATGTTTTTTTCATACACTATATTATAAATTCAATGTATATATAAACCTAAAAAAATAATATTTAGCAAGCATAATTAGTAACAACGATAGTAATAAATATGTACATATCTAATAACTATCATTTTCAATTTTACAGTACTTTATATTGCACTTACATTTGCAATGCATCAAGTTATATTCAAAACTATACTATTATTTTGCACAATACAAATGTTTATTCTTAATTTTTTCTTCACATTTTAAAAATTATTTATATATAATGATTCCTATTAATATTTGGAAATCAAAGTATTTGAAAAATTATTGCTTTGTATATTTTGTTAAGTTGTCATTTAATTTATTTTTTCCAATAATTAAATAATTAAAATAATTATTACAACTAGTAGAAACATGAATTTTATTTATTTCATGCAAATAGTTTTTTAGCATCATAGAGCAGCGATTAATAACAATAATTAAATTAATTCAATAACATTATTATACACAAATATACAGAACAATAATTTCTCTGTCACATTTGGTATTTAAATATTAATATATGACTTTATGTATATAAGTGGTCATATCTATATAATATCTATATAACACTGATCATTAAAACTTCATAGATACAATATGACCTGTCCTGAATTTGATTTAAAGTTTTACTTATTCAGTTGTTGTATATTTGAAACATAATCTCTGAATGATAATTCATAAAATATAATTTCGAAAAATTATTCCTTTTTTATCGATAACATGTTAGAACTTAAGATCCCGTTACCATTTATAATTTTTTATACTGTTTCATAGTAAATAGTCGCAGAGAAACGAAAATGAAGATCTGTATGATAAGAGCTTACGAGTAGAAAGTGTTGGATATATTTTTCTTTAGTAGTAGTCAACTAATTGGCAACGCTTTCATGTCAATCAACAGAGCATGAATCGATTAAAAAATATTTTTTTACTGGAAATAATTACTGGTTACCTTCTTTTTTAACTGCGAATTTTTGTTGAGTTTTTCTGACGGCGAGAATTTTTGTTTATAAAAATTATCACAATCTAAAATGTTATCTTTTATCATTTTTTTTTTTCTTTTCTAAAAAGAAATTCCTCTTTCGAGGAAAGTATTCTAAACATTTACCAAAATGTCTGTTTGATCGAGTTTGCCGATGAGATCAGCAAAAGAACTGCTATCGGCGAAGAGCCAAACTCCAACCGCCAGCGCAGCTCCTCCGGCTACCTGTAAACAAATAAATAATTTATTCCTTCAAGTTAATAGGCAAATAAATTTTTCAGCAAGAGCCGTTCGATGAAAAAATATTTATATTTTTATTTATATAAATGGTTTAATTTTATATAAAAAGGTTTTTATATAAAGATTTTATATAAAATGGTTTTATATTATTTAAATTTATATAAAAAGTTAGTACTATTTGTATTGAGTGCTATATATCAGCAAGTGTATACAAAGCTTCAGTAATTAATTTTTAGTGATTTACAAATCAACGAATTAATAAAAAAATTAGTTAGAGATTGAAATATATTCTGTTGAACAATATTAATACAATGTTGACTGGTTTATTTTATGCAAAAACTATATAATATACTTATAATATTTTATGCAAAAACTTTGTATATAATATACTTATATACAAAGCTTCAGTTTAGTAAAAAAAATTAGTTAGAGATTGAAATATATTCTGTTGAACAATATTAATACAATGTTGACTGGTTTATTTTATGCAAAAACTATATAAACTATTTATGCAAAACAGCCGGATAGTTTCATCATTAAATAAAAAGATTAAATACATTACAATAATTTTATTTGTACAATTATTCAAGAAAATACCACTGACTATTATATTTTAATAATTACACAAATTGATACAAGTGTCAATACGAGAATAATTGTAGTTTGTCAACAATGTGTGTCATTATTATATTTTTTTTTTTTTTCGCTTTTGTTATAAAATGAACATGTACCATCATTTTGGTCCTATGTGAAAGTTAATTTTAATGTCATTTATATATCTTCATTGATTTTATACGTATATTATTTTTAGTTTAAATTTGTTATTATATAATGAGATGTATGTGAGCTACAATACAATCTTAATGAACCACTTTCTAAATACTAATATAAAAATATATTCTAAGATATCTTTTTCACGTTCATTGAGTTTATTTCTAAAGTACATTATGCTAAAATTTTTTTTTAAAATTACAAATTTATGTTTAAAAATACAATAGATTTTGCAATCATGTCTGTTAAAGATAGTTGCTAGAAAAGTAATGCATTATTTAAAAATTAAAAGAATCAGTAAAAGTTTCAAAAATATAATATCACATGAATTTTAATAAATTATGTTAGAATTAGTTAGTGAACTATTTTCTTTGTTTATTATTATTTGAATGTATCGTTAGATGTACATATATAAAAATATTACTTTTTTTTTCCTCAATCAGAAAAAAAAAAAAAAGAAATCATACTTTAATCAAAGTTAAATTAGTAACAAGTTATTAGCTAAAATAACATAATACTTACGAAGAAAGCGAAATTGAAGAAGCATAGAAAATACTTGGCACACTGTGAAGCACAGCCCATTTTGGCTTCGTTCACTGATTGCGAGGTGTATCTGTAACTGAATAAAATAAATATTTCAGTATTCTCGTGCACCTTAAATTAATAATAGTTCACGGAAGAACTGTTTGGTCGCACTGCCTCTAAATTGATCCTTTTATCCTTTGTTTATTTCATGATTTTTATCCTTTATATGTTACAACAGAATACAGTAAATTTCTAGTTTTAGCGGCTTTTCCCAATTCTGGCTATTTCTTTCTTTTCGTTTAGCTCCATATATTGGAAATATGATCTGTATCTAGCATTTCTTTTTGTTTATGTTCTATCAAAAAAAGTTATCAGCAAAGAGATAAATTAAAATCTGATTAAAAGTTATTTAAATTCAAATCAGAGACCGACGACGATTTATTTAAAACAAAGGAGAAACCATACGTCATTTAGAAGCGTCTTTATAAGACGGTCCAGTTACTCAAGTTAAGACGTATTTATCGTTGAAATCATCGTGGGCGGGAAACAAAGTGGTGCGAAAATTGGCCGAATTAGGACAAATTCCTGTTAATTAAGAGTGCGCCTTTTGCATTTATAGTCGAATGCAGCGTCTAGCAAGCGACATGTTAATGCATCTGATTTTATTAAGTCTCTTTGTGTTTTAACAAAAAAACTAATATTGCTACAATATTAACATACCAAACATAACATGTACAGTACATATAAGTATATATAATATGTATATGGGATCATCTATACACCAATAATATAATTTTTTTTAAATAGTTACATTTAAAACAAATGAGAGTTGTTACTATTTCAAAATTTTTAAAAATTAGAATTGAAAACTTGATAGAAAGAAGATAATGAATTATAAGAATTATAGGAAACTTCATTACCGATCAATCGCTGACGAATTACACACATATTTTTTATTTTCATCTACGCATGGGATGATCTAACAAATATCCGACAAGTACAAGTTTAAATTATTATTTTCAAAAAAATTATCTATACTTTGAAGTATACAATAGAATATATACTTTTGTGAATTAAAATCTAAAATCTAATTTTACATTGCACTTTGAATTTAAGTGCATATTACAAATATTTTTCTTAAATCTAACAATTCTAATTTATATTATTTTGCATTGCCCATTCGACGCATTCTGTATATAAAAATTTATATAAAAAAATTATAAAAGCCAATATTACTTTCAGAGTGATAAATCAACATATGTCATGCTCAGAAAGAGCATTTCCTCGTGAGCTTATCTTTTATTATTAATCGCTGAAGAACTGATCATTATGACCTGCACTTTCTCGTGCAAGTTTCACTGAAACGACTGGAAATGTAAATGTACAAATAACAAAATTATGTTATTTAGCAATGTCGTTTAACCCAGAAAGATTCAACAGAGTTAATCAGAGTTGATCCTAAAAAGCTATACCTTATACATGTGTATAGGCATAGAAAGTTCAATTGTCTAACTAAATATTGTTTTTGTTCATACGTATATCTGTAATTTTTTAAAATTACATCTAGAAAATTAAAATAATTATTAATTTAATTAAATTAATTTTAAAAAATAATTAAATTAATTTTTTAAAATTGCATCTAGAAAATTAATTACTTAAAAAAAATTTTAATTTAAATTTTAAACGTTCGTAAAAATATTAATGAGTTAACAATTATTGATCTATTGCACATATGCTAATTTACATAATTTATCAGGTAACTGTTAATAATTTATATTATAATTTTTCTAAATCTTTTTTTGTTACGTTATTTTGTTTTCAATAAGTATCTGTTAATCAAAGAATTTCTCGAAAGAATTTCTGAATTTTTATCTTTTAGATAAACAAGTTTTAAATTCATGACGTTATTACTCTTTTCCATTTTTTAATTAATGGAATTAATTATTATTATACACTTTCTGTTTCGATCTATTTGACATCGAATCCATTAAGATTTTTGTTACGTTAACTCATTGTTAATTTTAATTCTTTTCGGGAAGAGATTCTGATTCACAAAAATATACCTGAACTATATTTTACTATATTTAATATAAAATCTTCATGATAAGATAAAAAAAGATACTTTTCTGCGCCCAAAAAAATTATATAATTGATATTTTTTTCTAGAAACTTAGCAATTTTTTTCTAGAAATTTCTCTAAACTTATGATACCGAATGAGTTGCGGTTATAATAATTGATATGACCGTAAACAATAATTAAAAAGGAAAAAAAAAAAAAAAAGAAACACACTGAATTACAAAAAAACAAGAATGATTTGCAAAACAAAATAATTATGCAATTTAAAAAAAATCTGCAATATAATATAAATTACATAAATATATAATGAATTTGGTAATAATAAATCATCATGAAATATGGACGTAAATATACAGGAAGATATGAACGTAACTTTGCGAAATTGCAAAATAGCAAAGAGAAATATAGGAAGGAAAAACTATAGGAGCCTACGCTTTCATAAAAATTATGGTTTCGATGCGTGATTTAACAGATTAATCGACGCAATCACAGATGCACGTCTTGCATATTGCGAAAAAAAAAGCTCTGATTTAACATGAACGCTGGTTAAATATTTCATGAGCCGCGACTGTCTATGTATTCGTCGTTTTGCATCAAGGATTATTACGTTATATAACGTTAAATAATTCATCGCAAACATTGAAATTGGAATTATGTATTCCATTCTTCTACGATCTCGTCATGTATCAATTAAATACATATAAATATAGATAAATAAAATAAGTTAACGAATAATAACAACAATTGGATAACATAATATAATAAATTTATAATTTCCATATTCGCCATTATATATTTCTTTTATATACATATTAATTGTATAGATATAATATATATATGTAATAAAATTTAATATATATATTATAATACAATTATAGGACATGTAATTGTAATTTTACAGTATATACAGTATATAGTAATATATATACTAATATTAATACTAATAAATTGTATATATGCTAGTATACATATATATTATATACTATATATATTAATATGTAAGTATACTAATTAATATATAGCATAAATGTAGTATATGGTGCACTGTATAATTATGTACCATAACAATACACTAATTTTATAGTATGTATAAATACTATAAAATATGTATAATACTATAATGTTTTTATGTATAATACTATAATTTTATAGTATGTATAAATACTATATAAGTATATTAATTAGTATAGCATATGATGTAGTACTATATAATAGTTATGGTACATAATTATATAGTACACCATTATATAGTATAGTACTATATAATAGTACTATATATAATAATACTATACTATATAATGGTGTACTATATAATTATGTACCATAACAATACACTAATTCTATAGTATGTATAAATACTAGTATATATTCTAATATAATTAGATGTTAATTAGTATGTAACACATAATATAGTATATAATCTAGTATATAGTATACAATGTATTATATAATTATGGTATAATATGGTATAATTATACTATAAAATACAGTATAATTAATATTATATACTTAATCTAGAGTATAGAGTATAGTTAATATTATATACTATATTATTAATTATATTATAATATTAATATTAATTATACTATATATACTATATATAATTATAATTATCATACTATATATAATTATAATATTATTATACTACATAATAATATTAATACAATATTATATAATAATATTAATATAGTATAATTACAGTATAATTAATATTATATACTATATAATCTAGAGCATAGCATGTATAATATTATATAGTCTATAATTATACTAATATACTAATTTTATAGTATATATAGTACATATAAATGTATGCTATATATACAGGTATACAGATATAATTATATTATAATATAATTAGAATGTTATTAGTATACATCATTTCAATATTGTTACAATTTTTATATCTCAGGGAAAAAATTACGTTCCAATTACTATATCGTGTTATTTGAGATTTAATTGTTTCAAGTACTATTCAATTTTGCGAAAATGGGAGCAATACGTGAATGTAGATACTGGTTTCATTTGCTTACTAAGAAAATTAACTCCAACGGGCCTTGAACATCCGAGACTTTGAACGCCCTTGGAATATCTTCTACATAACAATTGACAATCCGGTTTCTTCTTCCGCTGAGATGCTATAATCTATCCTCGCGTACGATACAGCATTGTTGTATAATTTGTACATTACGTTTCGAACGTACGTATGTAAAACTTCTGCTTAATGGCCCATCTATGAATGAAACCATCTATTAATAATTACTATAGTTTACACTGAACAAACTCACAACTTTCTCTCATTGTCAGACTCTTTATCTTTATCGGCTTTTCTTCCTTGTTAATAATATCATTAATCTTACTTCCTCTTTTCCTTTCTTTTTCTAACGTTGAAAATTGTTAAGGCTTTGATGAAGTTTTCTTTCCTTCTCTTTTCTTTTCATTCTTATCGCATTATTTGGTTTCCGACGAAAGTGTAAGCACATTTGTCCCTTTTACATCCCCAAGAGTACTTAACCTATTCGCGTGAGTCAGGTGTATTTTTATGGCCAAAATGGGCAACGTTAATAATCGGGATAACGATGTGTTGTATCGCGACTGATTTCGAATAATAATTATTCTATATAACGACGAAATAGTTTCACCGTTTTAATTAATTACGAAATAATTTGGTTCTGTAATTAACACTAAACGTACCAAGCGGTGTCAAATGACCTCCTTTTTCAAAATTTACTTTAAATAAAAATATATGTATTTAAGTATTTTACTAGAAATTAGCAAAATTTACTTTGAATAAAAATATATGTTTGAGTATTTTATTAGAAATCAGAAGTTATGTTGCACAAATTATTTCCTTTAATAAATTAAGAATTTCTTTCTAAAAATCAACGTTTATTCAGAAGGGGTCAAATGACCCCTTATGGTAAGATAGGTATCTGTAAAATGCCGGTACGTTTAGCGACGAACAGATTTTTTTTCAAGACAGAGGAAAAAAACATTTTAAACGTATATATCTTCCGAAGATTCTGATAATGAGGATGCAATAAAAAGAAATGAAACTTCAACAAGTGAAAATTGCGTTCCCAGAGATAATAATTGAAAAAGTTTTATCTTCACGGGAACACCAGGTATAAACCCTTTATTTTTGAAAAAATTAGCAGATAATCCCACTGATAGAACATAGATTTATTCAATCTAATATTGATGAATGATTATCGGTGACGCTGTTGAAATAAATAGATATGCAGCACAGATGCTAAATAGTGAAGATGGCAAAAAGAAGAGTGAAACTCATTGGGAATGTAAACTTTGTTTGGTAGCTTTACATATGTTTCAAAAAGTATCATACTGAAATAAACTATTGATACATACATACATACATACATATATACATACATATACATATACAATCTTTTGTTTTTTTTAGAAAATTTATCATTAATAAATAGCAATAAGTTATATTTTTCATTTTTCTCTTTACTACCATACCACCATATCTAATCAGCTTTTTAGTGTTTCTTGAATCATTTCTACACTGCATTGCCTAATTGTAACTGCATTCTGTCCACAAAATATATATAATGACTGGCGAATGGGTTAACAGCACCACTTTATACGAAAGCTTGTATCATTTAATATGACCACAATTCAAAAAGACATGTAAATTAAACATTTGCGAATAGCTGGAAGAGAACACGAGTTTACTACGTTCTTGTTTGATATGCAATACTACGTCTTATTTTTTCCGGCTTATCACTTTAAGCGTAATACAGGAGAGCCTTATGAGTGAATCTTTTATGTGAATGTCTTAATATTCGAATATCATATTATCAGAACAAAATGTTTATCTGTTAGCAGCAGACTATTCTGTTGACATAAACGCAGATATTCGAAAAACGAAAGTTCTCTATTAAAGAAGCTTAAATCGAAAATTGTCTGTCTCAAAGTTGCAATATTTTTTCAGTATTTTCAAGTGTATTGAAATAATAAAAACTCAGGCAAAATAAATGATAAGTTTATTTCTTAATAATTTCTATCCAGTGATATCATACCGATGAGTTCGAAAAGAAAGCGACGAATTATTGCATATTGGTTTGGTCACTCGTTATGGTTGCCAGCGCAAAGCGTTAATACGTCGAAAAATCATCTAATGGCAAAAGAATCTACTAAAAATTAAATTGCAGGAACTTCTAACGCGACAAAATTAGCTAACTCGACTTGATCCTGATTTTCGCGAAATGTTACATATATGCTTGACCAGTTGTGTTAACAGCTATCTGTTCGCCAGTTAATCCGTTTAATTTTCAGCGGTTCAACGAGTTTGACAACTTTCGATGATGATGCAATAACGTATCCGCAAATGTATCGTATCCTCGTTGCATAATGCACGCAAGTATGCAAGCTTAGAAATGCACTTGTACGAGAAATCTAACGTTCCAAGTGCGAGCATAACGATCTTTGCAATTTCCTTTTTCCATCTCAAAGCAGACGTGTTACATACGTTGCGTGTTGTGTTAAAATTCAGAAACGACCTGATAATAATGTTACAATATATTTGTAAATATTCTCCTTTGACCAGTTATAATCTGCAGTGTAATCTCCGCTCGCCAAAAAAATTTTTTTGTACAATTCTAACAAGCAGTCGTTCCTTAACATATTTAGTTATGCTGTAAACATATTTAAGTATTGGGAAATAAATAAATAAATACTTGTTCAACTTACGGGTATAAAAAGTTTTCTCTTCTTATATTATTATTTTTTTTTAAAATTGGTACACAATTTATTTTCAGGAAATTCTCCCCAAGTTTGAAAGCATTCTTATTATGATTCAGTCAATTGCTTTTGAACACCTCTACGGAAATAAGTTTTTCTCTTTACACGTTTTTGGTATCTGTGTGGACACGTTGTTATGTAAGTTCCAGAACATGTTTAATAATAGGAAAAAATATTTTTTCAAACATGAACGTTTGCATCTTGGACGTAACATATCCACGCTTGAACATGGAAATATAATTCGATGTTAAAACAAAATTTAATCTAAGAAGAAGAGTGTACAAAACTTGGAGAACAATTTCTAATGAGACAGAAACCCAAAATATAAAGCTTACATTGTACATCAAGTTTTCCCTGAAAATTTAGGCCCCATTGAATATCTCTGGGCTAAAAGTTGTCACTACGAATAAAGAATAATTAAAATAACAATTAGAAACAGTAAAAAAAAGTTAGTATACCCCTTGCTATAAAATTACTCAAGCTTTTGCTAAATTACTAATTTTCTTTTAAAAGCTGCAATAAAAAACTTAATTAATTAATTGAAACGTACTACATAGAAAATATTAAATAAATTACTTGAATAATATTATAATACAGTAACATTGCTTTTGTCCCTATAAAAATTGTACTTAATATACATGCATTGTTTTCCTTTGTTGTGCGATTAATTCAAATACAATATATGTTTATAGTATCCTGAAATTATTGATATAGTAGTTATAATTTTTAAAGAAATTAATCAGATATGATCTTGTTTTCTTTAGATTTATATGTATATAAATTATGTATGTAATTATGATAAAAGTTAACTGTACTTTTGTTCGTTTTTACATATCTATTTATTATACATTGGATATAGTTATATTGTTTTACTTAAAGAAGAAGAATTTATCAATTGTTTCATTTATTTTTCCACTTGACTAACCTTGATCTCTTAATCGAATAAGCATTTGATGAATTATAATAATAATAATAACTTGCACTTCCATTCATTTCATACTAAAACAGCTTGAAAATTAGCTTCTAATGGTATTTGTATAATAAGGAATCATCCACATATGGAAATATTTTAATAAAATAAGTGAATCTTAATGTAATGAAATTCTTTTTTTAAATATGTGAAGATTTTTTTTTTCAATTAATCACTGTTTCCTTTTTCTTCCAAAAAACCAGCAACAGATACTAACTTTGTTATCCCTAAATTATGATTCATTACTAGATTGCGGATCCTCTATATTTAACACATGCATACGAGAGAAATTTTAGAAAATGCAAAAAACAATATTTTACAATATTTAATGATTACAATAATTCCCTACCTAGACTTCATTTTTTCGATTATCTTTATAAATCTACACTGCAAAAAGGAAAGGTACTCATAAATTCATTATGACGAGTTCACTAAGTTCAATCCAGTCGCGTAGAGATTACTATGTGAAAATTTTATTTTAAAGATATGCATTTTGTTGAATATTTCAAAGCATTTATATAAAGAGAAGATTGTCTATATAATAATAACATTATTTTCTATAAATACGTATATCATTATGAATATAATACTCGTGTTTTAACGAGAGGATGTTGTAGCAAATGTATAGAAATAAAATACATTCGAGTCGCTGCGAATGCAATAGGTGTAAAAAAGATCTCTGCAACCTTCTTGTAAGCAAGCAAGGTAAATTCTCGTCCAGAGGACAATGACACGTGGAAAATTAGGTCAGCAGACTTGATCATACCCGGTCAACGGGTCGCTTTTCTTTTTCTTTGATCGCCACTTTTTGCTGTACCCTCGTCGAATTTAATCGTTTCACGCGAAGTTCCATTTGCCTTTTACGAAAC